TACAAAATTACAAAATATGTTTCTATCATTAATTAAAAATTTAATGTGCAATTTCAGGCAAATTTTATGCATTATTTCAGGCAAACAATCATGAAATATATAATTATTCATATAAAAACAAAATCGTATACTTCATTGTACATTTGCCATTATCATTATATAACTATAAATATCATCAAAATATGATAACAATCAAACCTGTATGATATCAATATCTCATATATATTATATCCATCAACGTTAGCTCAAACGGTTACTATTTCCAGGCAAAAAATTTAAAATTTAATAATTAATTATTCATAAAAATAAAAAAATTTTTAATACTTTATTTTTACATTTGCCATATCTTTTTATAATTAAAAAATTTCTTCAAAATATGAAAACAATAAAACCTTCTATCAGTATACCCATATATATTATTTTTCCCGTAAACGTTAGTTTAAACTGATTGATACTACCGTTGACAGGAAAAGGGTTACTTCTCTCGTACACTTAGGGTAAACCTGATTTAACCCCTCGACATTTAAAATTAAAATTAAGCCCCATTTAAAACGGGACTGAGCAAGTTTTTTGATAAAAATTTTTAAAGTTCCTTTTAAAAAAAACTTTTTTGTTTCCCAAACCCCCAGCTTTAAAATTTATTTTCCCCAAATTTATTATTTTAAATAAAAAGATTAGAAAAAAAAAACGGGTTAAAATTAAGGGCAATGAGGGATTTTTTTGTTTCCTTAAAATCTGTAAACTTTATTTTTTTCCTAATTTATGTAAATGAAAAGATTAAAAATTAAAATTTAATACTGTTTAAACTAAAACATGACCATAGAAAAAAAATAAGACTTGAATTTAAGTCAAATGCTTTCCCTTAAAACTGGGGATATGATTTGATAAACTTTGACTCCTTAATTTGTATTTTTTTCTTTCCTTTTTTGTTTGGTATTTTCTTATGAAATGCTTTCAGATAATAAAACTTTAAAATAATTTCTTTTAAAGGCATATTAACAATTAAACAATTAGCAACCTGTCAGAACCAAAAATAATCAGCCATTGCTGACAGTTTTGAGCCCAGCCAGCCTAGGTATAGCATAACTGAAACAAGAAGATCACCATATTTGTCTGATATGCGACTGAAAGACTACAACAATGTTGTGACTTAACTTTAAGTCTCGCATATTGCCATGATGTAATAAATCTGCCAGTCCTATTTTTTAGTGCTTATTGGTCAACTTGATTTTACTTTTACTGAAACACAGCTAGGAGCCTAAATGTTTGAAGCAATAATTTATTCATTAGAGAATTAGCAACCTCATGTTGCTATTATGTAATACATAATATGATTTATAGCCTAAATAGTCAAAGAAAACAAAACTCACAAATGAGTGTGCAATCATGTTATGGTGACCTTCAACCAATTTAAAATTTAGTAGGCAATAACTTCAGACAAATAAATATGAAACACAAAATAAGTGTGCAATAACTTAGGACAAATCAATATGCAACACAAAATAATTTAAAGAAGTATGCAATAACTCAGGACAAATCAATATGCAACACAAAATAAGTGTGCAATAACTCATGACAAATCAATATGCAACACAAAATAAGTGTGCAATAACTCAGGACAAATCAATATGCAACACAAAATAAGTGTACAATAACTCATGACAAATCAATATGCAACACAAAATAAGTGTGCAATAACTCAGGACAAATCAATATGCAACACAAAATAAGTGTGCAATAACTCATGACAAATCAATATGCAACACAAAATAAGTGTGCAATAACTCATGACAAATCAATATGCAACACAAAATAAGTGTGCAATAACTCATGACAAATCAATATGCAACACAAAATAAGTGTACAATAACTCAGGACAGATCAATATGCAACACAAAATTAGTGTGCAATTACTCAAGACAAATCAATATGCAACAAAAATAAGTGTGCAATCACTCATGACAAATCAATATGCAACACAAAATAAGTGTGCAATAGCTCATGACAAATCAATATGCAACACAAAGTTAGTGTGCAATCACTCATGACAGGTCAATATGCAACACAAAATTAGTGTGCAATCACTCAGGACAAACAATATGCAACACAAAATTAGTGTGCACTTACTTAGGACAGACAAATATGTAACACAAAATTAGTGTGCAGTTGTTCCAGACAGATCAATATGACGCACAAAATATTAGTGTACAATAACTCAGGACAAATCAATATACAACACAAAACGAGTGTGCTCTTATTTTAGGCAGATTAAATCCATGAGTACATGTAGATAATGATTATTTTATCCCTTTAGTTGAGACAGGTGCTTTAATCAGGTTTTGTTATCTATAGCTATCAATGAAATGCTGGTAATTAATCTCCATGTTAACTTGTCTATAAATAGAACATTAATGACCCCTATGATCTCTTTATTATCCTCCCCATTCAACATGGCTGTTATCAACAAAATCCATGCACATGATAAAAAAAAATTACTTTAATTTATAACAAAATTTTACTTCAGCTTGTTGATAAAAATTAAATTCAACTTGTTAAACAAGAGTTAAATTTGTTAAATTTGTTTACATTATAACAAAATTTTACATTAGCTTGTTTAAAAAAAATTACATTAAACTTTTTTATTACATAACAGTGTAATTAAAGTTTGCAAAGAAACTGTTTTTCAGGAATTAATAAAATGGACATTGCATTGGTAAATCATGATGATTTAAAGGAACTCCACTGAGGTCCAAAAGCCTAAAAAACAAACAAGAAATAATGCAAAAGATAATTAAGAAAAATCTCAGAAATAAATTGAAAATCCTATTTTTGTCCTATTCTTACTTTGGTTTCAGTAAAAACCATTGCAACACTTCAATTTTGGGTCATTTTTGGAACATAAATCATGAAAAATTATTTTGAGTCCTGTCATGTTAAAAAAACGCAATGGGGTCCCTTTAAATCATAATAAAATCTGACCAAAGGCTATTATCAGCACATTTTGAGCATGAACCCTTTACCCTGTTGGAAAAAAAATTTATTAGCCTTTGCCACCAGTGTAAAGTCAGGCCAGCCTGCATGTCCTTGGTTGTAACATAAGTTGTCTCTATTAATTAACACACATGATTATTGTTCGTAAACAGAAAAAAATGCTCTGCAACAAAATATCATTATGCTAATTTCAGTAGGGTTTTATCAGTTTAGCAATGATTTCCTGCATGCGCCAGTCACTTTTAAGACAATTTTCTACCATAATTACTAGGATAATTGGATCAAAAACCAAATGAGGCCTCGGGTAACAGTATTTTCCTTGGGATGATATTTTTACTGTTACCCACAAACCCATGTGTTATTTATATATTATACACTTTAAAAGCTCATTAAGCCCCAAAAATGCAATTGTTTTATTTCTCAAAATATATTCATTTTTGGTGTTCCTTTAAAGTTTCTTTCATACAGCTGATCATTCTTTTATTGTTGTTTTTGGCCATTAGCAGTTAGCAGATAGTGATTTTGTAATTTGTATGGCAGAGAAAATACAACTTTTGTGACAAATTAATCTACATTCAATGCTGCTTTCTGCAATTGATCGGCATCTAACATGCTATAAATCCATTAATAAATCATTATAAAAAAACACAGATTAACCATATCTTCAAAGGAAAAACCATATTCATTTCAGATGCTTAATGTACCTTTAAAGAGATAGTTTTTATTCTATTTTCAATCTAATATATTCAAGATATAATATTTTACCATAAATAATATTCCATGCTCACTATATATGTTACTATAATTTCATATAGGTCATATGTTTACAAAAGTTAATATGAATTAAATATTGTATATATAATATTTGATAATATTTACATTCATTCAGTTCAGTAACAGCAGATCTTAAATATCTACATCACCAAGATACTATACTATCTTCTTTGACCTTTCGTACAGAGGTCACACCTTCACAGTTATTTCATACCACTGTCGTAGTGTTTTTATAATTTCTAAGGGAGGCAACCTGTCAGTGTTTAAATAGCTTGAAAGGGAGGAAACTTGACAGTATTTTAACAGCAATGGAAATAAGGGTTTACCCTTTTTGTGTTATCCCTATTGTTGGCATGCATGTATTTTCATTATGCTAAAGTAAATCTTATCTTGTCTCATCTTATCTTCTAAGGGAGGCAACTTGTCAGTGTTTTAATAGCTCGCAAGGAAGACAACCTTTTACAAAGTTTTAAAGCTTTTAGAGAGACAACTCAGCACAGTGTTTGCTAGTTTTTGTAAGGGAGTCAACTAATCACATTGCTTTTTGTAAACTTCAATAGAAACAATATTTTCAACATTATGATGACAATATGACATTAGAATTCAATGAATGAATAATATTGTCTGGCCTTAACAGCGCAAGGAAAATTAAAATTCCATTGCCAGAAAAAGTCTTGTTATCCTGCAGAATAGTATGTAATTCTTACAAAGGGGCATATCTCTATCATAAACAACAAGCTAACTGCAGAAAAAACCAAATTTAAGCTAAAGTTTCTTTTGATGTGGCTTTCATAAATAAAAAATAAATTCCCCTAAATTTTATTATATTTTTTATCAATTTTACCTGCCAAAAGCAGGAAATACTTAACAACATCCTATTGAAATCAGCTTTTTGCAATCTAAAATATGTTATTTAAACAACATGAGTACTGTCACTATTATGTGCATGTGCCCCAAAGATTACATCGAATTCCCCCTACAAAGAAAACCGCCATGAAAATTCCCTCTCCTACAGGTACTGTTCCCCAAAAACAGAGAGAACGCCAAGGTTTCAAGGCTATAAAACATTTTTTCAGTGTTCTGTCTCAAATCTCAGGATTTTCATTGGTCAATATACATTCGATATTCTTTTCTGACCAATCAAAAACCTGAGATCTGGCTTTTGAGTAGAGGATATTTCTTTATAACTTAAGACCCTTGAGGTAAGTTATAAAAAGATCAAATGATAATGGTACCTGTCATCTGACTTCCTCTCGAGCACATGATGGTCGATAACTTGTACCACACAATCTTCGTACTGTACGTCCGTACCTGTCAGAACGTTATGATCTACTAGCGTCAGTTTTAATCGGTCCTCGGACTGCCATCTACCAAACTCCACATTATCCTACACAAACAACAATATACATTATATAAATAAACCTAACCTTACTGAATTTGTGTAATGGCTATTTCCTGCTTTGAATTTGGAACAGGTTCATTAGGACTTAGGGATTTCAGTATTTTAATATACAATTCATTCATTAAAAGAAACAAGGGTAAACCTAAATGCACACCTGAGTCAAATTCCCACCTTCTGAAAATATCAACTAGATCTTTTAACACAAGTATATTATAACAACATCATTTGCATGCGACCTTGTCTCAAACTAGACACTTGAGTGGCTGCACGGCCAAGTGGTTAAAATGTTGGACTAGTTAGTAATCTAAGGATTGTTTGCCACCTGATTTCTGTCACAGGCAAGCTATTGTTTCCATTAGCAAGAAACTTAACACTCATTGTCTGATACTGGTTAGTTCCAGGGACCAATAAAATGGAACCAGCTAGCCCTGGATTACAAATTTTATAAAAACCATTGTAAGAAATATTGGTAACTCCACTTATAATAAAACAAAATTTTGCAAAATAGAGAAACGTTAAGCAAAATAGTGTATATGATTTTATCAGTGGAGTATAAACAGTGGCAGAATAAAAATTACCTTAAATAAAAGACAGTCTGACGGTATGTTGAGCTTGTTGAAGAAATATGTGGTTTCCGTTCGTAATCGGAACTGACTCGCTGCAATGTTCAGTACAGGTATGACGACAGTGTTCTGGTCCGCATTTTTCTGAAAAAGGTTAAAAATAATGTCCTTGTGAATAAAGCGTTCTTCAACCCCAAACCTTAAGCATGCAGTAGGAATTGAAAAATTTCACTTGTCAACTAGTATTAACTTGTAGAATAAACAATATTTTGTGGCAGAACAAGTGTAAAATTGTAGACTGCTTGTAGAGTTAAACAGCGATTGATCTTATATGACGAGTGGCTCCGAAAATAATTTTCGATCTCTTATTCAGGTACCTGAGAAAGTATTCACCACCACCCGCTTGAGTACTAAAACACACCAGCACTAAGCAGTGAAAAGTTTCGTTGAAAAACATAATTATAGATACTCTCATAAAAAGCCTAGTATTTTAAATCATAATTTACTGTGGATAAGCTGCCAGTGTCCAAACATATGCTCAGTGACAGCCTTGAGGCTAAGGGAACATTGAACATTGATTATACATGAAATATAAAATAACCCAATACTTACAGAATGAAGATAATAGGCATAAATGATAGCAGATGCAGCTGAATCTAGATCACAAGCCTCATTTCCAATCACAGCATGTATATAACCAGTCTGTTCTCTCTCACCCTACAATATAATTATAAGAATGAAATTTTCACTTCAGTATATAGTTAAGCTATATTTGAAAGCATATCCTAGAATAATGGAAATTTTATCAGAAATATACAGTGCAATCTCTACAAAGCAGCATTCTGTCGACCAATAACTTCTATACAAGAACAATAACAAAGACATCACAATAAATTTAACTTTTATAGAGCAACACCTCTCAATAAAAACCAAACTTTATATCTTCCAAGGATGTTGCTCTGCAGTGATTACACTGTACTCCATTTAATGCAGGTAATATTGAACATGTGTAAAAGCACATTAAACATTTGCACATTTTATGTTAAAATGTAACAAAATAATTAAGAAAAAAATATAGAATTATTTTTTCAACATTCACATTGTAGTGCCATTCTGTGCATTTAAATTTTATATACTTATTTGTATGGGTTCAAGTCAAATAGTGACTTTTAAAATTTTAAAATTTTAGGTCCCTCTCTATTTAATCTTAGCATTATTTCAGTAACAAAATGGCACCTGGGAAGAACCACTGACATTCTGTAAGCCATCTGTATAGCTTCCTCCCATGAAAAGAGTTCCTATTTCCTTTAGGATTCGAACCTTAAGTCAATGACCTTAACCTGCCACAAAGATGCCTTGTCAAGATGTGTGCAAGGAGAGCCTAAGATGTAACATGAGAAAAATAAATTAAAACAAAACAAGCAAAGTAACTAACTAGACTAGCTTTTAACTGTGACAGATAAACTTCCATACTGGAATCTAATACTTGGTCAACATGAGTATCTGACCATCAATGCTTCACCTGAAACATATAAAAACAAGAGAAGTTATACTTTAATGAAATAAGTAATGTCAACTCACCTTAGAGCAATAATAGGTTAAGTCCTTCTAAATTTGATAGGAGTTATTCAGTTATTGCACTAAGGTGACGATATATAATCAATTAGTTACAGGGACTTCATGGAGCCTCGCTTTCATAACACCATTTCCAAATAAAAATTGACAGTCTTGACACTTGTTGACATAGTTTATTGCATGATGAGTGAATTTGATCAACATGTTAGATTAAACAAAGACAAAGTCTGTGTTGATGAAGTCTGAGAGCATCAGAGAAATGTGCTGGACTCAATTTATAATGGCAAATGCCGTCAAATTTTCATCTTTCATTATCTTCCCCTAAATTTGGTCATGTGGCATGTTGGTCACATGCCAATCAGTCTATTAATTGGATTATCATTAGTCGATATTTACATGAGAAACCCTGAAGGTTTCAACAAAGCATTGATATCATCAAAAAAAAAAAAAAAAAAAAAAGTATAAAATAGAGCACATACTATGAATATGCAAAATATATCAACGCCTGAATCCCAGGTTATACTGCCGACACAATAGAGTACCTCATTTGATATCATAGCCAGTAACAATTTAACATTGTTATTATATACATGTAATTCAAAGTCCTATGACAAAGCCTAAGCATTGCCTTTCACGGCAAAACTAAAGTGCCAACATAGATGATTTCAATTCTGTACAAAGAATAAACATTCCGCTTCAAATTTAGGCAAAAAAAAATCACTTCAATAAAGATATTTAGTTTATACAAATTTATTTTAGTTCGATTGTGTTGGAAGCTATAAGCTTATTGAAACACTCTCGAATCCATTCCTGGAACCAACCAGTACTAAGCAATGAATGTAAAGTTTCTTGCTCAAGGAAGCAACGGCTTGCCCCTGACAAGGTTTGAACTTAGTGGTCAGCAATCCTTAGATTACTAGTCTGACGCGTTAACTTCTCGGCCACGCCGCAATAAAGATATTTGATTTTCTACATCATCACGAGGGCTTTGACAAAATGGGTAGGGGTTTGACAAAATAGAAATAAAGAAAGACTGAATCTTGACAATGTCATGCTATGCTATTGTACTGATCAGGGAAATTAACTGCTGCAATGCATAACATTAACCAGTTATATAACAAAAATGTATGTACATTTTAAAATTCATTTAATTAAAGACACTTACAGAGCAATTTCATCAAGTTATTGTATATTATATTTTAAACTTTATATACAATGCCAATCATTTACAGTTAAATGCATGCCAATACACTGAACAATGAACATCTTTTATCCGAAATGCATTTAACCGAAAGCCATACCATTACATCAATTTTACGATGCGTCTATTTACCTTTTTGTAAGATTTTAATCAGTCAATGAAATAAAAAATATAATTATATTCACGATATTGTAGTTTTTGATACTTAACGATGCATTAAATATAACAAAATATCGAAGAATTGTAGGATTTAACGATTTCCTCTGAAAGTCATCGATAAAATCTGTTCACCGTTTCATTCCGGCTGAAAAGGCCTACCCGCCGTCCCAAATTCCGACAAGGGTTTTGTGGAGTATGATACACACAACATTGTTACTCATAAAATGAGTTATAAAAGATATCATTTTCTTTTTTTTGTCACATGTACAAGATGATGGGCCCAATCTTCATAAATTCGCACATTTCGGCTGTTTTGTTAAAATCTTCAACCGACTGACAGCCGTTTTGTATCCGTCCCTGTTGTACCTCTTCGATGCTTAGTGAATATGTTATGTGTACTTTATTTCTAGCAAAGTATGCCAACCGAGTTAAAGAAAACTTTCTTGTTTCTTGAAGTTTCATGTCCATTTTTAAGGAACCAGAATTGATATCTATCTCTGAATATTGCCAACCCCTCTCGCGAGCGTTAATTATAGGCATGAAATAAGTGTGTGTCGTCTGTGTCAGATGCTCGTATTTATGTAAACCATTTTTCTTATTTAGACGTACATGTCTCTGTATGGTCGTAGCATGTTTATCATGATATCATTTTTATTTACCATTTCCAGATTGTAATGCAAAAACATATGTCGAAACCTTTGCATCACAATAAATATCAGACCAGTGAACTACACATGTACTCAATCATGATTGCTTACTTCAAGATTATGTCTTTAGCTAAAGAATCATTTCTAGTCGAACTTTCTCTATATTTCGTTTCAACGACAAGTTATTGTTATTTGGATATTATTTAGAACATAGCTCGTTGATTTCAGCCTTTTAATATTATTACCAGGCTATTAAATGTGACCAGAGATATAAATCAAACAATCTCAGAGAGTGTCACTTTGGTGACTTAATTGATAGAATTCTGCTGGCCAAGGCTATGACTTCCTGTCTTCTGGATGTCGCATGCTCCCATTGCATTGTTCCTAAGAACCTGATTCGTCTCATGTTTATTGCATTATCCATGAACATCGCATGAAAGTGTGGCTATTGCATTGTCCCTAAGCTTTTACCTTGTCCTTAAGCTATTGCATTATTACTAAGCTATTACATTATCCCGTGAACGTTACATTGGCCAATGGCTAATTCATAGTCCCTAAGCTTTTACATTGTCCTTAAGCTATTGCATTATTACTAAGCTATCGCATTATCCGTGAACGTCGCATGGTCCTATGGCTAATGCATTGCTCCTAAGTTAGTGCATTGGTCCTGTAGCTATAACCCTGAGGTTACTGCACTGTCCCCGTAAACGCTGCACGGTTATATAGCTATTGTATTTTCCGGTCCCTAGGCGATTGCATTACCCCCAAGTATTTGCGTTGTCTGTATCATGTGCACTTGCAAGTTAAGAAAAAGAATGGAACAGTGGAATTTTTAATGGAAAACTATATTCCCCAATCACATAAGAAGATTCCCTAATTACATTAAAAGACAAATCAAAGTAAAAACTACAGTGAACTGATTTATAAATGTATATACATCTTCTTTTCATACTAAGCATAATAAATATTACATTTTAATATCTCATTTATTTTTTATATAGAGATAACTAGTCCCTCACGACATAAGTTTAAGACATTAATAGAAATGTATTCATACCTTTAGAAAACAGTTTGAAAAACTCGAATGAATAAGAGCACGATATGGATTTGTAGGCACTGGCTATAGATTCAATTAAAGATCAATGGATGGATCGATGGGGTTAACCTAGATTTTCATGTTTCTAAACTACAGTGTGTATACATGTGAAGGTGTAATGAAAGGTAATATTTAAAGGAATGCTGGACGCATCCGAATGTTCAAAGGTAAGCGGCAGTTTTCTAGATGGATAACAATTATAATGATAATGAAAATTATTATGATTAATTCATAGCAACAACAATGATAATCATCTTAAAATGTTAATAAAAATATGGTGATAAAATAATTACGATAATAATGATAGCAAAAGTAAAAACGATGATCATAATAATAAAAAATAAAATAATAATAATGATGATGATAAAACAAATAACGATAATTATGAAAATAACAATAATCATTATAAACAACGATCATACTAATAATGATAATAATAATTTAATGCTGATTATTTTTATGATGATTATGATGATAAAGATTATGATTACAATTATAGTGGTGCTATTGGTGATGATGATAATATGATGGTGATGATGATAATATGATGGTAATGATGATAATGATTGTGATAATGATCATTGTGATAATGATGATGATAATAATGATGATAATATCAATGATGATAATAATAATGATGATGTTGATAATAATGAGTGTTATTATCGTGTTGTCAGAATTTTGTTAATGATACTCGATTAAATATTATTACTAAGAGGACATTTTTAATGTCACCAAAGAAACTGAACTGAACATATACATGAGAAGGGTCGTGATTTACACAATAACTTTTTCAACATTAAAAATAACATATCTCTGTTATTCGTTATTTCCAAATAGAAGAAGATCATTCAATAACAATGTATCACACATAAATTACTATTGACTTTACGATATTGATTATTTTGTCCCAGTACATACATAAACAATTTAACGTCTCTTTAAATCGATAAATTATTCATTGTACACATAATAGTATAACTTTTTCCGCAGTAATTATGAAAATTTATGGTATGATAGAACCACAATTCAGGTCTTTTTTCAGGTCTTTTTTATTTATTTATTTTTTATGACGTTTACGTTTTCATTGTTATATGATGTTGAAAATAAAAATCTCTGAATACCTTTGAGATGTTAAAGATAAGTATGAATAAGTACGGTTAAGCGGATTTCCATAGTTTTTTTCTCGTTATTTTAAGTCGGTGCTAAAAAATTGAATACCTTCTAAAATGGAATACATATACTAGTATATTATAAGAAAGGGAGAAAAATAGGGATAAAGTTTATTTTCTTTAGTCGGCTGAGAATAATAACGATAATTATTTGTTTATTTCAATACACTGTCAATTTTACTGTTTCACGATAACTTCTAACTGTTTTAAGAAAATCTTCTGTCTAAAATTTGGTGGTGGTGTTGGAAGTTTTTACTGCGACAGTAAGCCACATTGAATTTATCAGAACACAGTTCAGCCACCTTATCGTTACTAGGGAGGCTGGCAAGCAGATTTCCAGTATTAGTTGCCTGTTCTTTCGCAAGGAACTGATAACTTCTGTAACGCCATAGCAAAGGTACTGTGCAAAGACCGTTGAAAGGATTTCATCATCCATCACAACGAAAGTGATCCGCATCGTCCGGGAATCGAACCCGGATCACCCGATTCACAGTCATCTGAAATAGATGGTTTATTTTTGAATTTCTATAAAAATATAACCCCTTACTATGTCCATAGATATGATTTTGATATAGAAACCTTGTAAATATGAAAGAATATGATGCAAAAAATAAGATAAAGAAAAAATATAAAAAATGATAATAAAGCAATCTACGGTATAGAGTCTTGTCTAGCTGTTCGGATGCACACAAAAATTGGTCTGACTATTCACTGGCTACGCTATCTTCTATGTTTAAGTGTTACAACTATCGGATCAAGGCCATGTAAACCTATATTGTACCTATAGATTATTCGTAATGGCTGCTTAAGAGGTAGCGATTTAAATTGTTAAAATAATCTCTCTAGTCCACGTATGTCAAGTTATGACAAGTTTTTAAAATGTCTACTCGACCCGTATAATTTATTTCTTGTTTGTATATGACCTTTCGTCGAGTGTTTATCACCAAAATAAGTTAAACAAATTCTTTATTGATTACTTTTAAAGATCTATATTCACTCTGAACGGAATTGTATCTTTTATTGAATGGAAGTACATGTATGTCTGTTTGCAGTTTGTACAGTATATTGGTTCTATGCGATAAATTAAATGGATTTAGTTTGCTAGCGAGTTAATTGTGGAAATTTAATATAAAATTTTTAGGATGAAATTGTGTTAAATATCAATCGATATGAAAATTGGGTCAAATAGCAACAACTATGTATTCGTTCATGGATTATATATAATAATATTATAGGTATATATATTTTGTTTTATTTTGATATGTATTGTGTGTAAAAATAAACGATTACTTTAGTACATGAAACTTAATAATAAGCATGATGTTTTGAAACAAAACAATACTTTTTTCGGATTTCGGATCGGATATTGATTTTATAGCGTAATTTATCATACATACCGAAGTTTAATTGCCGAAAAAGATCGATAAGGTATTAGAATAATTGACCTTATTTTCTTTTCTGATTATATATGCATTTACCATCTATATTTGCGTTTAAAATCGCACCAACACTGTTGATAAGCTTTACTTGCACACGGGAAGATCTTAAGTCCTTACCCTCGTTAGATACTTATTTTTTGTAAATACCGTCAGGTGCCAGTGTGGAGATATTTACCGAACAAAACAACAACAAATAAAATAAAATAAAATAAAATAAAATAAAATAAATTAAAATAAAATAAAATAAAATAAAATAAAATAAATAAATAAATAAATAAATAAATTAATAAATTAATAAATAAATAAATAAATAAATAAATAAATAAATAAATAAATAAATAAATAAAAGATCAAAACAACAAAAACAACAACAATAACATAAAAACAACAACAACAAAACACGATAAACATACATATTAGACTATAAATTAGAATATGACATTTTTTTTTGAAACAGAAAATATGCATGTCATACTTAAAAAGCGTTGTACTATCCTTTGACATAGATATACATTTTGAAGTAGTATACTTGAACAAAGAATTGCGCTATTTTTTGTTGATGCCGATTATATGTACATTTAAATCGTATTGTACGTACAGTTATCATCTTTAAAACGATCATAAGTCGATAACTTTAGACAACTTTAGACAATGATTAAAAAAAATATTGAAAAAGGAAAAGATAATTTCAAACAAGTTTTGCACACAATTATTGAAATAGGTAAATTAAACAGGCAATCAGGCTAAAATATCACAATGGCTCTGCAGAAGCGGTAGTTCCACCGCAGCGACACTGGAGCACTAATCGCAGAAACGATGGCTTATTGTTGCATATTTATCAGACATGCGTTTCCATGCTAGAAATTTCATCTGGCATGGGGTGTGGGGGGTAGGGGGGGCAGATGAGTCGCGAGCTATACAATGGCATGTTTGGGATGACCTAATTTTACTGTTATGAGTGAAGTTATAATTTCATATGCTGTTGTACGGGTTTAATGATATAAATTTATAAAAGAATTCAAAATATAATGGAATGTGGTAGAACATGCAAGAAAAAATATCTGATATATGTTCTCGGCCCTGAAGTAATAAAACTTTTTCCTGAGTTCTATTTTATATCTCAGGATTCTCATCGAAAAATTTACATTCTGTAGCAGTTTCTGACCAATCAAATACCTGGCATCTGAATTTGTGCTCAGATATTTTTTCTATAATTTCGGACCCTGTTAGAATAGTAAAACTTGCTGCGCTCAGGGAAAAAGTGATGCAGTTGAAGATGCTAATCTACCCTCAAAGGTTTGACCACAGAGCTATTATAAATTATAAATGTACAATGTATCTTGAATATAAGTCTATGATTTAATATATTTTGTTTTTTGAAAAAAAAGTCACCCAAATACAATTTACATAAGTTTTAAAATTTACACGCGTTTCTTGCTCCGTGAAATACCAGCAGCCAATTGTATAAACAATTTAACCGCGGAGTTACAACTCATTAAATACTTGATATTTTAACCCTTTATATTATATTTAAAACCGTTTGCAACGCTAATCTTGTTTGTGGGTTAGTACCTTTAACCTACTGTAATAAATTACAAAGTTCAATACATTTATTTATTACAATTTTAAAGTATTTCAAGCTTTTCTTGATTTCGAGGTTTAACTTTTAAATCGCATTATAAACTAAAATCATAAATTTAAATCAAAATTCAAACACATTATATAAAAGAAAGCTTAAAAAATCTTTAGCAAAGTAAATGGTATTTAAAATCTGACTTTATATTATATTTGATTATAACACGTTTACCTTATTCAACTTCATTTATTTGCTCCATATTGCCCGCTTTTTAATATAAAGTCATTTATAATGAAAGCGATATTTAGGTTGCAAATGAATGCGTAATATAGCGTTTTTGTTATGCATATTTTTTATATATAAGTTGAAAAACACATATCTTTTCATTTCAATCCCTCATTTACAAACCGAAATGACATTTGGAATATATTAGACAGTATTTTAATGGGAAGAAAAGTGATATAAATTCAGATAAATCATGCATGCTATTCTGTATTGAATATATTGAATGCTATATCTAGGGAGAATATTGCGTTATTTGCCAACTATGGTTTCATAACAGTTTAAAGAGTACAAAGATCAATCGGAGCTTCTCGGCTTTTATTTAGGATTGAGACTAGAAAAAGTGCAAATGATTAAATGCTAAAATTTTCCCTTTTCCATGCCGAAATTAATTATGAAGTATAATTCATCACTTCTCACCGACTTATATACGAAAATGATTAAAAATGTAAGAATCGAAATAAGATTCCTGCCTTATAATGCACAGACCCTTGGGGTGTGGAGCTTAAAACGCCTTTAAAATCCAAATAAAATGTATATTTGTCAATCCCAGCACATGTACTGATCATAAATATAAAGAAACTTAATAAACGCCGTTTTGAAAAAAAAATCATATTTCAACGTCTTAAGTTTTATTATAGACGTTGAAATATGATTTTTTTTCAAAACGGCTTATAATTATAATCATTAAAATTTTTTATATACATATGATCAGTACATGTGCTGGGATTGACAAATATACATTTTATTTGTATTTTAAAGGCGTTTTAAGTTCCACACCCCAAGTGTCTAGGTTATAATGCAGTATAGTTGACATATGTTTGTTCATTTATCAATATTTTCGTTGTTTTCTTTCGTTAACTCACCATTCGCATATTTCACGCGATCTTCTAAAATGGTCTATGAATCTCGATGAAGAAACACAACTTCACTTATGTGCTAATATATTAAAGTGATAATTATATCGAGCTAGAAACTTCATGAAAACAAGTACAGTTAATAAAACAACACCTTAGTCAAGACTAGTAACATTTTGTAGCCATTTACATTTCAGAGCTTACAGTTCTACCGGTATCTAAGTAACTTTCGAAAAATTTATAAAGATGTGTTGACCTTAAACATCAAAACTTCTTTTTCTCTTAAAGAAATGTAGATATCATATGTTTATAAGAACTTCAGTGAATTACAGGAGACTGGAACAAAAACTTTTTATTTTGGCGGGAAATCGGAAAATTCTCTTTTTCAGTAAAGAATAGCTTTAGATGTATAGCTTTTGCGTAACCATGAAAAATAAATCAATCTTTGTGCTTAAATTTCAGATTATGTGAGTTCTTACACTAAAGATGTCGATGCAAGTTTATTCTCCTAAACGTCACCGTAGAGCACCGAAGATTGCCGAAGACAATTCCGTGTACAGTACTGTAAACTCGGCAAAAACTCCGTCGATTATTGAACTCGAAAATTTAAGATACGAACACTCCCAGGAATACATTGTTGACACCATGCCCACGCCGAATAGTTTAACATATCGCCCATTGCCTGCTGTGCAAATGAAAAAGACGTATCAACCCCACACAACGCCCCGGTGGGAGGACAGGAAAAAGACCACAGTTTACGTCACAGTGACGTTTCTAAAACTAGGAGAAATTGATACGATTAAGGAATATTTCGAAGCCGATGTGTACATACAGGCTAGATGGAGAGAGCCCCTGTTAGATAACACAAAGGTAGGTAGGCCTTGCATTAAATCTATAGTTATGCAATTAAAGACCTTACACAAAAAGACGTGTCCTGCTTTGAATGGTAAATTTAGGAGTTTCAACATTAAAATGCTTAAATTTTTGAAGGCTGATTTGTGTCACATTTTCTCTTCGCCGGGTGCCGGACGAAATCACGAAACTACTTCAACGTCAATATTTTCTTTGTACTTTCGTTTCGCGGAGCGCAAGGCGAAAAACGCGGAAATACGAGTCACCGCGAAAACTCAGAAATAAGAGTAACCACTTTTTCGCATGGCGTCCCGCGGAGCAAAAATACGACATGGCACACACCAGCCACCATATAAATCATTTAAAAATATAAGGCATAGTCAGGATGTGTAGGCTAATCTGGTTCTATGCAGGGTTGGGAGTGGGTATGCTCGGCAAGTCATCTTTGCCGCTAGAGTTCATAGCGACAATCGTTAGAAACAGTTGAATTCTAATCATCCGTAGTCAGGCCATGTTCATCTTGACTTCCTGTGAAGCTCAAAGGGATTAGATAAATAGTAGGAAAATTAGGATTTTTATTGGTTATTTTCTTATTTCAATTGTAAACATAGGAACCTGATAGTTTATTTAACAATATTAATGTAAAAAAAAGAGTTTTTTGGAACTAAGTAATCTCGAAAACGAACTGTTATAATTGTAGGTCGGAGTCTTGCGTACATGTACTTTACTCATACAGTTAATAACCTGTTTAGACTTTCTAATCTGCCATATCTGATGCTGCTACATGTATTGTACCTGTAAAAACAATTTAAAATATTTTTTTTCTTAATGATTTCGGTATTTTTCTTTAAATATTTTTTTCTTAAAGCCCCATTATGGCTCTGAAATGCTATCATTTTTTATTTCTTAAAAAATGTTCATTTTTTTTGGTTTCTTATGTACAGTTTTCAAAAATGTACTCATTTGTTATATAGTACATGAACTGTCCTTTTTGTATCTTTAGTTCTTTTGGTAATTGGTATAGTAATAGAGAATAAGTATATTGCATGGAAGTTAAAATACTTCTTTGTTTTCATTTTGCTACCTTTACGGCACATAGCTACTTTTGTCAGCTGTTCAACATCTAACATGTACTTAATAAATTATTTAAACATAATTGATATTTCTGAAGAATAAGAAAATATGGATTTCTGAGGCATAATGTGCCCTTAAAAGAAGAATAAATAATAATAATATAGAATATGTTTTTTTCACTTTACCTTTTTTGTACGGAAAAACTCAAATCAAAGTAAATTTTGTTTTCAGACAACAGTTTCGGACTATACACAGTTTTGGAACCCGGAGTTGGTCTTACAGAATGTTTTTGAGGACCCGAAGGAACAGGTATGGCACGAGGTGCGTCATATGCAGCATGGGGAGGCGTTTATATACGAAATGAGGCGCGTCAAGGGGAAATTTATGGAGACAATGGAGCTGAATGACTTTCCTTTTGATGTACAGGTAAACAATAGTTACATTTTATATATTCGGGAGGTTCGTTTGTATTAGGGTCATACCGCAATATATTGGATATCCCAGTATTTTATCTGTGAATATTATACCGCAATATGTTTTCAGACATTGCAATATATTGTAGCTATAAACTTTTAATAAAAAAAATCATTAAAGGTAGAAGTACATGTATATTCAGCTTGTTCTAACTTGACATCAAATGGTAAGTATGTAAACTTGTTTAACTTCTTCATTTAAAATGCCACTTTTAACACCTTTTAAAATATTTAATAAAGAGCCTCTCACATACCATTAATTTGGATATAATATTAAACAATAAACTCTTTTAGTCGAGGTTCTGTAGGTCTAATAATTGATTTTCAAGTTTTTTGATGTTCACAATATATCGCAATATGATTTTTCTTTGCAAAAGCCACCCCTAGTTTTTATGCATTGTTTGATTTTAAATCACACACCGACAATGTAAAGGGCATACGGGCGACTTTCCAGCTTTTAAATGGCTAATTAAGACATTAGGCGCCCCTCCAAGCATTTTTATTCCAGGCAGGAATGGGCACCTGAGTGTAGGTTCGTTGATTTTATTAACAGTTCATATTTTTATTGATTGATTAGGCTTTAATATTATTATATTACTATATAAACGTCACATGACCTCTTATGAGATAAACCTTTACAGGAAGACCCTAAGAAAAAGTTGTAGGTACGAGTCAGTGTTGACCTTTTAGTTGTTGACCGTTTAGTTGGAAAGCTCTCTGACATGAACGAATTCAAAGTCCTTGTTGGGATTTGAACCCACACTGACGATTGGCAAGTATTTTAAAGTCACTCAGTCACTTATTGTTGGGATTTTGGGATTTGAACCCGCACTGACGGGGGCAAATTGTTCAATATCCAGTTACCTTAACAAATCAGTCACCTACAGAACATTGAGTGACAACTTAATTTACAGAATGTTTTGCATTGTTTCAGGGTATTTCAATGGTGCTATCTTCGGAATTAACAAAAGATGTTTTAACTATTGTTGAAGATAAAGACGAAATCAGTACAATATATGTTGACTGTTTCTCCGACAGCCAGGTATGTAGGGACATAATTTCCGTGTGTTATTCTTAAAAAAATTTTCTGTAGTTTATAATCTATTATAAACACTGTCTTGTCTTCCATTAAATTTCGCAGACCCTGGTGGTGGTGGTGGCATTAGTAGTTGTTTACTCAGGATCACGGCAGATTGTCGCATTGAATTTACCAGAGCACAGTTCAGCCACCGCATCGTTCCTGGGCAGGCTGTCAAGCAGTTTACCAGTACTAGTTGCCTTCACTTTCGCAAGGAACTGTAACTTCTGTACATGCCAGAACAGAAGTACAGTGCGAATGACCGTAGAAAGGATTTCATGATCAGTCACAAGGAAAGTGATATGCACCGTTAGGGAATCGAACCCGGGTCACCCGATTCATAGTCCAATGTGCAGTCCGACGCTCTGAGCTAACCGGACGGCTCTTTGTTTTTCAATTTTCTTTCCCAAAAGAATTTTTACTAACTAAATCAGTTTGAATACGTTTTTAGAAAATCGGCGAACCTTCAATAACCGGGGAAATGACTGTCTTGTAGGGAATTAGAAAATTCATTCAAAATTTAAAAATAACTGTATATTTCTTAATACATTTGCAAGAACGTACCTGAATCGAAGCTTTTCATATAAAAAATCTTTTTAAAGACACTTGGGGTCGACCTGCTAAACTATATGCAAACAGAGCTTTTTTAAGCCAGACACTTTAATCAAAAACATTGTAACTAGTGTGTTATTTTCCTCATTACTGGTTATCTGATCATGTTACTGTTTCTCATCTTTTCTGTATATGCTTTCGATAGGAGTGGGAGTTGTACAACTTTGTGGAGATGGACCCACTAGATATATCAGCACAGTATACACGTGCACGGATCAGTTACCCGGGAATTATCGCCACGTGCTGTGTATCTAGACGAGCGGGCTTCTTTGCTTGGAATGTCCTAGTGATTGTGGTATGAGAATATTTAATTGCTTTAATACTTCCATGAAATTTTCTTTCTTTATGTTTAAAGGCCCATTAAGCCTCGGAAATATTAAGATTTAATTTCTCAAATTATTGTGTCCAAAAAGTTACTTAGTAAGAGAAAGAACATCGAAACACGAAGCTATCTGATTTGTACGAGTGGGCGTATTTTTTTTTTTGATTACGTAATGTCATTATTTGTGTCCGACAGAAGGCTATACTTGCGTCTCATTTAGTCTTTTGGTTTTGATGTAGATTGTTTCAGTGATGAAATAGCAACTCGCAAGGGAGGACATGAATGCCAGCAATCGTCTAACAATAGTTTTTCACTCGTTTGGCTATACATGTACATCTATAAACAGCCACTCTTAAGGTGTTAAAATATAATTGTATAGCTCATTTGTTGACCGTAAATGTGATAATGTATAAAGGCATTTTAAAAACCATTCAAATCAGAGCGGGCGCTGTAGTGCAGTGGTAACACTGTTTGACTACAAATCATGGGGTCGCAGGTTCGATCCCCCGCTACTCCAATAAAAATTAAAACAGTATTTCGGATATAAATAAATAAATAAAAAATGTTAAGTAGTATAAAATGTTAAAAATAATAATAATAATAATAAAATAATAATAAAAATAATATATAGTATATGAAAGTAATAAACAATAGTGGCATATTAAGGATAACTTAATAAACAAAACTTACACAAGTAAACATGACGCACTGAGCACAACTCACACAGTAAACATGACCCACTGACCACTACTCTCACAGTAAACATCACTTACTGAACACTACTCTAACAGTAAGCATCACTCACTGAACACTACTCTCACAGTAAACATCACTCACTGAACACTACTCTCACAGTAAACATCACTCACTTTACACAACTCACACAGTACACATCACTCACTGAACACTACTCTCACAGTAAACATCACTCTCACAATAAGCATAACTCACTCAACACTACTCACACAGTAAACATCACTCACTGAACACTACTCTCACAGTAAACATCACTCACTGTACACTACTCTCACAGTAAACATCACTCTCACAGTAAACATGACACACTGAACACTACTCTCACAATAAACATGACTCACTGAACACTACTCTCACAGTAAAACATGACTCACTGAACACTACTCTCACAGTAAACATGACTCACTGAACACCACTCTCACAGTTAACATAATACACTGAACACTACACTCACAGTAAACATGACTAACTAACTGGACATTACTCTCACAGTAAACATGACTCACCGAACACCACTCTCATAGTTAACATGACACACTGAACACTACGCTTACAGTAAACATGACTCACTGAACACCACTCTCACAGTAAACATGGCTCACTGAACACTACTCTCACAGTAAACATGACTCACTGAACACTACCCTCACAGTAAACATGACTCACTGTACACTACTCTCACAGTAAACATGACACACTAACCACTAGTCACACAGGAAACATGACTCACTGTACACTACTCTCACAGTAAACATGACACACTGAACACTACTCTCACAGTAGGCATGACTCACTGAACACTACTCACACAGTAAACATGACACACTGAACATTACTCACACAGTAAAACATGACTCACTGAACACTACTCTCACAGGAAACATGACTCACTGTACACTACTCTCACAGTAAACATGACACACTGAACACTACTCTCACAGTAGGCATGACTCACTGAACACTACTCACACAGTAAACATGACACACTGAACACTACTCACACAGTAAGCATGACTAACTGAACACTACTCTCACATTAAACATGACTAACTGAACACTACTCTCACAGTAAGCATGACACATTGAACACTACTCTCACAGTAAGCATGACTCACTGAACACTACTCTCACAGTAAGCATGACTCACTGAACACTACTCTCACAGTAAGCATGACACATTGAACACTACTCTCACAGTAAGCATGACAAACTGCACACTACTCTCACAGTAAACATGACTCACTGAACACTACTCCCACAGTAAACATGACTAACTGAACACTACTCACACGGTAAACATGACTCACTGATCACAAACACTTCACAATTTTTCTTGCTCCCTCTATGAATACAAGATAATTGTCCTTCGGAGTATTGTTCATCCCTTCCCCCTCACCATCTACCATCTTTCGTCTTGTTTATGATTAAACTTTGAATTATCTCAATACACCTGTCGCTCGTCAATTTACCTTTTTCAAAAGTTCAAATGATAAAATATAAAGTTTTCTTTGATTTTCAGAATTTACTGACCATATTTGCATTTACGACATTTGCCGTAGACCCAACTCTGACTCAGAACAGATTACAGTTGTCGTTTATCCTGATGTTGGCAGCTATCAGCTTCCGGTTTGTGACAAACCAAAGCATTCCTAAAATATCTTACCTTACCCATCTTGTAAGTATGATGAAATTTTTATTCCCAGTGATAGAAAAGATAAGAGAAATCAATTAACACAATTACATATACTGTAGACAATACAATAAGCTCCGCTTATAGCAAACTCACCGGGACTTTAAATTTTTTTTTTTATAATTTGGTTTATACAGAATTTATTTTAGTTCGATTGTGTAGGAAGCTATAAGCTTAAAGACACATTTTCGAATCCGTCCCTGGAACCAACCAGTACTGAGCAATGAGTGTAAAGTTTGTTGCTCAAGGAAACAACGACTTGCCCCTGACGGGGATTGAACCCATACGGCTAGCGATCATTAGATTACTAGTCCGACGCGTTAACCACTCGGCCATGTCCCGTTTATAATTTATATATCCGGAACTCCTTATAAACTTATAACAAATAGTTCTTTACGAACCACGTCTCTTACGATCTGATAACGTCTTTATTTTGAAGAGTATTTGATCAAGAAATATAAATAACGTGAAAAATTGACAAATGACTAAAAGAAAAATCAAACTATTTATTTTTTAAAGTTTTTAAAAAACACAATTATGACAAAAATGTACAAGTAACCCGGTTTATGACTCATACCTGACCTGTGCACTCACCTTTTACACTCGGATGGGCACAATGTCATTTTAAATATATTTGGTATTGATATTTTGCTATGATTTCCTATTTTTGGTACATTACCTATTATCATTCATGATTTGTTAATATTTATTCCAGGACCGTTATGTTTTGGTATCGATGATGTTTAGTGGTATTATAACGTTCTGGCATGCCGTTTTATCACGGTTCAAATACGACGCCAGTCTCCAGAGCAAGATGGATTTCTATGCATTTATTTTGTTTGCTATTGGATACTTCTTCTTCCAGATGATATTTATTCTGGTGATGCTACGTCAGGTAATTTTACTGATTACATGAAAGTGCATTAAGTATTCTCTTTTTTATACTTTACTTTAAAAGTATAGTCTGGGTCAATCTCATTATCGTCAGAATTCTATTATATTATCATGAAATTCGACTAAATGGTCATATATTGAAATAAGTAAAATATTGAATCTGAAATACAATCACAATTTAAATTTCAGTATTTTATTTCTGGATTACTTACTATTTAATGATGCATCACATGGTAAAGTTCTGTGCCGCGATGCGATTTCTTTCAAGCTGGAAAATTTGAAATTTAACTTTAACAAACCAAGTAAACCGTTGGACAATAAACATTTAATTAAAGATCCTGTATGTTGTAATTAAGGTTGTAACCACACTTAAGTAAAATTTCAAATATGTATATAATTATGCTTCTGAAACAATTGTTAAAAATCGAAAAATATGTAAAATATGTAATGCAAATATTTGTGCACTTTATATGTAATCATTAAAATATATGCATTCATTTCTTACTCAGACTTTACAGAAAATAAATTTTTAATTACCTCCCTTTATTAGCATGAAATGTAAATTTGGGAATATCTTCACAAATAATGCTCTTTGGAACTTACAATTATTGACAAATTTTCATTTGAGCATTATTTTTATGATATAAAACCATAAAAAAATTGTGTTACAGGATCTTTAAAGGTGTGTTAAGAACGAAACGCTCTCGATAGTTTTTACCAAACATTGTTGACTTCCGGTCAGTTGTAATTTGGCTGCTGCCTGTATATTTCTATGTAACCGATTAGTCGGAGATGGCTTCATATTGTTCTAGATTTGTCAGTGTTCTGGTTAGTCATGCGGGAAATCCGATTAGGTGGATCGTAGGCCAAATGTATAAAAATCGGCGATAAAACCAGGAAAAATACAACAACAAATGCTAACATGTAATGGTGTCTTTCTTTTCTTTATATTATAGCGCCAACAAAAGCTGTCAGAAATACAGAAAAGGGAAAACAAGTACAAGGTATATATACATTTTTAAGGCACTTAGAAGTACTATCATTTTTATTTCTCAAACATTTCTTGGTTACTTGTTTCAAAAAATATACTAATTTCTACATACATGAACTATCTTTTACATCTTTAGCTATTTGGCAATTAATAATAGTGAATTAGTATTTTGTATGGAAGTCAAAATTCAACATTACAATTTGTTTACATTTGGCTAAATTATGACGCTATTTTTAGTTCTATTTGACATTTCTAAAGAATTAAAAAGATCTGAATTTTGAGTCGTAATGTGCCTTTATAATTATGGAAATTTATTTGTTAAGAGAAATTGGGGATACCAAGAAAATTCATTCTGAAAGTTATAGCCGTCGAATTCATATCAATGAAACATAACGTATATAGACATGTATATAAAGTAGAAAATAGTATTAAACGTTTTTGTCTCCTGCTAAATTGTGTAAATGTTGCATGGTTAGCCATTTGAATCAAAATATTCAGATATAAGTAATTGATTAGCAAGTATTTGTTGTTATGAACTTAAAAAATATGCAGTAGATGATTGTTATTGTTTAAAGTCACAAATATGCTGTTTTCATTGAACCAAAGTTGGCTTTCTTATCTTATTTTAATGACCGACAGGGACGTTTACTTTGATTTATAAGGAAGAAGTTCTTCTAAGGTGCTCGCATATGGAGCTATCAAGTTTACTTGCGTTTTGTCTGTCGGTGGTTCCACCCAGGTGCCCCTTTTTGCCTAAAATAACGTAAACCCCATAATAATATAACGCCCGAAGAGTTCCTTGCTCAAGGTGGTCCTCCATCAGTAAAGAGGGAATGTCGCCATTTATGATCTTAATTAACAAAGTCGTTGTGACTTATAAAAAACGCAATTCATGTGATATGACCTAAATGAACAAAGTCGTTGTGACTTATAAAACGCAATTCATCTGAGTAAAATATAGCTGCACATCATTCCGACAAAAAAGTATAAGTAAGTATGACTAGAATTTTTCAAAAACCTTAAAAAACAACAACAAACCTCCAAAGTCCAAAGTATATGGATAGAAAAATATCATTGGGTTAATGTACAGCAATTATTTTTTATCCTTATTAGTCGTTTCTTATCATAATTATCAGGTGTTTTTTTTAAATCTTTTTTACTAGTTTAAAGCACAGAATACTGTTGGCGATGTTTGGAAATCAATTAAAAGCAATGTTGCAAGCGGAGCCTTCACCCTAGGTCTACGAAACAAGTCAAACGTACACACAAGACCTCGGTAGACCGGATACGGATGTTGATCACAAGCTTGGCGCATGCGTATACCAACAGGAAGTGAACAAAAGGGGGTAAAGAAGGGAACTTACACCTAACGATCTATAATAATTGAATGATGCTACTGAAAAAAAATAATAAAGGATGATACCGCAAAAAACTGGATTCGTAATATTATGAAGTATAGACAATAAATATTTTGTTCAAATTTGACAATATTACAAGAATTATAGAAACTTTCTAGAAATCCATGACAATTTTATATGTAATCATTTCTTAAATCACTAGGTTACTCAGTTTTATACACGCATTTTATGATTATGATGTGCAACATTGCTTAGTGTTAGACAGAAAACCATGGAAACAAAACAAATACTTACCTAAATAAGCTTAAGTGTTTTTAAAATGTGAATATAAAGTGGAACGATGGTAAAAAAATCTACAGAAGAAGATCTAGCATAAAGAAGGACAAAATGCATAAATCGAAAATATTCAATATGTTGAAATTTTTTATTGCCTTGCAAGTGCATTATATTTCAATTGTGATATTTAAACTGTGATAGAAACGATATGTAAGTATTCTTTTACCCGGTTAAATACAGTATTACACTTCTCATGTAATAGAAATATGTATACTTTAAGATAGTTGTATCATAGTTTGGGGACCTTTCTGTTGAAAAAGTGTCAGAGTTAAATCGTATACATATACATGCACAGTGCGGTAACTGGAGTGCAGGTATCAGTTACCCGCACTCCAGATAATGCCAGTTGATTGGTTCATTTTTGCTGGGGTTTACATATTGTGACGGCAGAGAAAGAGAAAGGGGCAGGAATGTCATATTCAAATGCTCGTTCATTGGTTCATTTTTTCTGGGGTTTCGTATTTTGACAACAGGGAACGTGCTGTCATGTTTGACTATGATACAAAAGAGAAAGAACACCAAAACACTCGGCAATCTGATTTATACTCGGGGGCTACGCCCCCTCGTACAAATCAGATAGCCTCGTGTTTCGGTGCTCTTTCTATTACTTATACTATGCTCAAATTTGATATTAGTTAATATTGATAATACTTATTTTAAGGAATATTCTACATGTACAGTATATCATTTAAGATAAAACATATTTATATGTAAATGTGTATTTAATTTGTATTTAAAGACACTTGGTGCTTGTTAATATGTATCTGCATATCTTTGTGTTATGATTTACTACAATAAAGTTTATGTTTTCCACAAAGGTTTTCACCTTAGGCCCTACACATTGTATTTATCTCGCCAATCCTTAGATAGAATTAAACATAAACTGAGGAAAAAATTAAATCCTTTTAATTATCTTACCGAGCGTATTATATTTGTACATGTAAAATTTTTTAGAATGCTTAACTATTATTACACTGAAGGAAGCAGTATAAATCTTAATCTTGATTAAGTTACCTCCCTTTATTTAACATACGCCATTTGTAGCGGGAAAAAACACAATATGGAAAACAGGTATCTGATACATTTTAAATAAAGATCGTGCTATTTAAACAGCAGTGTACCACATAAATCATTTATTGCATCATTAAGTAAACTTAATAATGTAAGCTTACACATTCAATCGTCTGGATCAGGTAAATGAAACACGAAGTTCTTGTCTCGCATATTGATATTGTTACCTCCCTTTTAATGATTGATAAATATCGGTGATTTTTTTTTCAACCTGCGGCTTTCTGAAGGGGAAAATATAGCAGATAAATCAGAAATGGGGAAAACCTGAAAGCAAGTTCCAACAACCGAGATGGAATTCACCCACACATGTTATAGAATTTTCAATTTCATTTCAATTTATCCACGGGCGTGATTTAATATGCATTATAGGTCTACATATCAGCGGGGCAGCTCTCTTTCTTTTAGTCCAATAAATTCGTCAACTAGCTAATAATTATAAGCCAGCTGTTGTATTCATTCTTTAAGAATTATCATCATGAATATATGACGGTAATGGCCTAAACTTTTGATAAGAGGCCTTATCTGTCATTCATTGAAATACTGGAGTCACCAAAGTTTCACAAATGTATAACTGCCTAAATACCCTTACGGTTACCATATAATGGATTCATGAACATATTTACATCAACAACGTCAAGTTAACTAGTTCTGGCTTCCAAAAACTTTAAAAGTCGCATCTTAAACATTTTCCTTTCGTCTATTTATATTACATGATATACACATAATTATATGATTTACTGTATGAATGCTTGTTCTCTCCTACTCTAGATATTAAAAAGGTAAACATTATTTACGTCCTTATATCCTTATTTAGGATCAAGTGGTTTTGCTAACTTGTGACTTAAGGTCTTCTGTGACAGGAATGCCGCATCAGACATGAAATATTGAGAAATATTGATGAAATAAAATGCGAATTTCATTTTCCGTATTTTCACCGTAAAAATTTATTTTTTCACGGCAGTGAAACATATTTTCCGTATTTTTACTGGTGTCAAGTCGGACTACTTTCTCCGATCTACGCAAGGAAGTCTTTCATATTGTAAAGCAAAAAGAAGGAAAATGTATACATGTATAATAAAGAGAAAATTCCAGGGTTTTTTTCTATAAATACATGTACGCAACTCATGAAATATTTATTTTCATACCACTTGATGAAAATAAATCATGTATTTCTAGAAAAAAAACTTTAACTACATTAACAACGCGGCCGCGGACCTACCTCAAGAACATTTCTAATAAATAGTACATTGTGCCTAACAGCTCAAAGCATTAATATGTCGTCTCACTCAGCTCTAAACATTGAACAGATCCCAGCCAGAATTGAGCCTCCGGATCCAGGACGTCAAATGTTTGTGGCCGGGCTGGCTGAGAGATAATATATATATTATAATATATAAGGCCCTTAATGCTATGCAATATTTCTTTGTGGTCGTATGTTTATACTCTAAATATATACTATCTGTTGAAAGGTTGATCTCGATTCCATACAAGGAAAAGATTATAGACGCTTGCGTGACTCTACCGGATGTGACGAAAACTACCGGATATGGAGTCATTCTGACACACGGTGCTGGTGGAGATATGAATTTATTGCAGCTTAAGTTACTTTCTGAACATTTAGCATCAAAAGGTACCTGGTAGTAATAAGTATCTACTAAGTAAGACAGATTTTAATTATTAATTATTATTCATAGTTCAATTTAAAATTTATCTTACAAAGTCCTTTTACATTACTAGAGTGGCATAGCAACGGAAGTGATATATTTGGCGCATGCGCATGTTGTTTCGGACAAAAAGGCGTGGTCGGTGTCATAAGTGAAAGAATAATTTTAATAGGTTTATACAATTCTATAAATCGAAGGATATATTATTAGAATATTGAAAAAATAATCGCTGCAAATGCGAGAAGGAGTGTAACATTTTGAAATCTCAGAACCTTTCACTGAAGAGTTCTAAATAAAATTCATACAGAAGTCAGAGTAGAATCACACCAAACTATTAACTGTAGTTAATTTATTCTATGCTTCAGGTGTAATGGCTGTACGGTTTACGTGCAAAGGACTTAACCTGGCATACAGAGTTAAAGTTTACACCTGTGTCCTGGTAAGCTACTTTATTTCGTTATTAGACAAAACAACTAAGTTGATACCATGCAAAACAGCTAGAAATAAAAACGTTTTTAAATTCATGTATACGTTCCTTTGGCTATGGTCATATTTTCAAAATGTTTTTGGTTCTATTTTTAGGAGCACGTGACATCACAATACAGCAAAGTCACTAGATATTTTCTTGCAGGTATATAAGACAGACTTTAGTCAAATTAAAAGTTTATTAATATTCTATTTTGCATTTAAATATTTCTTTTATGCAATATTTTTGTTTGTTTGTTTGTTTTGCTTTTTACCTAGAACTTCATTTTACGATAAAAATGATATTTCGTTTATATGAATCTATTTGTATAAAATTAAATGTTAAACCATATTTGACTTTCAACGGTCATTCTACTAAATTATTTGATTTAAGGGCGATCAATGGGCAGTAGAGCGGCTGTCGGAGTTGCAAATGGCGTGAAAGGGACGGAACTCGTGAAAACTGTAGCTGGAGTTATCGCCCTTTCGTATCCTCTTCATACACAGGAGAATAAGTCCAACCTTCGAGATAAACCACTGTACGAGTTAAGCGACCCTATATGCTTTGTAAGCGGAACATCGGATGAGATGTGTGATAAAAGTTTGCTAGAAAACGTTGTTAGAGATGTTAAAAATTCTGAGGTAAAGTGGATAAAGGGAGCTAACCATGCATTGAAGGTCAAAGGATCCAAAGAAGAAGACATTATCACGGATATTGGCGATTTTATTTGCGATTGGTGTAAAACGAAACTTTCAGGTAGTTTTCAAGTTTCATAGTTTGTTTCCAATGTAACCTTACACTTTATACAAAGTAATGAATTTAGGCATATTTTTTTTAAAATTAACATAAAATTTATGCATCTTCTTATGCCAAATTTATAATTTATGCCATATCATCGGCATTCTTAAGTATAGTTCAAATATGCAAGGCTACTCATTGTTTCAAACGTGTTTAATATTCTATTGCACTATTTAACACAGGAAAACATATGATTAATAATATAATACTCAAGGTTATCCAATTAATACTTTGATTTCTATTATAATAAAACAGCAGTATCTTCTCGCGTTCAAAATGACTTTGAATACGTGAAAATTGGCATTTTTGGCCCGTGTCATAACTCCCTGATTTGATGGATGGAGCGACAGTTAATTTAACAATACATACAAAAAGAGGTCTCTTTTTATTTTGTAGGTAATATAGTAGAATCAGTAGATGACGAGGAAGGAAAGCAAAGTGAGAGAAATCCTAAAAGAAAAGTGGATGAAAAGAACGAGCGGAAAGGTGGAAAACGCGCAAAAGCCCGTCTTGTACGCTAAGATACTGTGACATAAAATATTGTTAAACTGTCAAACTCAGGAATAGCTTTGCTAAGGAATTGTCACGCACAGGTTATTGACAAAGATTACGTCTTGCTATTATAATGCCAAGATTCTGTCATGCTTTGATATTGTCACGCTAAGAGTTTTGTCACGCAATGGTTTTGTCACGCTTCGGACCTGCTATGGAACTGTCACACTAAGATATTGTCAATCTATGAGATTCTTAGTATCGCCTTACATATATACTTTAAATCCTTTGCTCTTAGATTATCCTGCGCTAGTAAAATAAATCCTAAAAAATGAAATTCTTAAAATTAAAAAAAAAGACTTTAAGGAAAAACACGTTTATACATTTGATCAAATTTATCCTACTTAAAACTGTCTTATACATTGTATTTTGTTAGATCCTGTATAAAAATATGTTTTATACATTGCATTTTGTTGATCCCGTTGAAAACTGAAAACATGATTTTATATACGTGTATTGCATTATAATGATCCTGTTTTAAAACATGTTTATACATTGTATTTTATTGATTCTGAATATCAATTGTGTTATATTGATCCTGTGTAAAGTATGTTTTATACCTTATGTTTAAAAAACATAAAACATGTTCTGTCCATTGTGTCATATTAATCCTGTATAAAACATGTTTTTATACCTTGTGTTTAAAAAACATAAAAACATGTTCTATCAGTTGTGTTATATTAATCCTGTATAAAACATGTTTTTATACCTTGTGTTTAAAAAACATAAAAACATGTTCTATCAGTTGTGTTATATTAATCCTGTATAAAACAAGTTTTTATACCTTGTGTTTAAAAAACATGTTTTATACATTGTATTATATTCATTCTGTTTAAAAACATGTTTTTATACATTGTATTATATTGATCATGTTAATGTAACTTCAAGTATTTACTGATCAGTTGGAATTAACAGGGGGATATTCTCTTCTGTTTTGCTGTTAACCCTCTCAAAGCAATATTGGAAAAATAATTATAACATCTCAGAATATTGAAGTGCTCGCTGCCACAGCACAGTTAACATTTCCTTTATATTGATTTAACCGAAAAAAGATCAACTTGATGTTGCAAATATTTATTTCCATGACAGCCATTTTCTGGTGATAATCCGTTGACAAGTGAGTGGGATTATTCAAACACGTGGGACTTGTTGTTTATTTTTGTCTAACATATTGCGAACGGATTGAAAGTTGACTTGTTACGGTTTTTTTCTTGATGAGAAGGTTATATACATGTATTATTTGCTTTATAAATAGAAACAATAAATATTTCGGGAATAAACGATGTTATTTTGGCAGTATCTATTTCACAGCAGTGCGGAAGACATGTTTATGTGTTTGTCCAGAGAGCTATTGTCGTTTTTATTTTCTAGACGATTCTGAAATGCAAACGATTTCGGGAGGAGATAGACATAAATGTACAGCTATAGATTTTTAAATGGGAAATATTTAAAGCAACGTTTTTGTTTTGCAAAGCAGAAAATTAAAATCTAGTAGCAGAAAGATGGCAAATGTGAGGAGATAGATTTATATGTTGTGTTTGGAAATTTAACGTTGACCCTTCACTAGCTTTGAAAAGGTTGTGACACGACTGTGTAATTTGAAATGCGTGTTTTCCCTATCAAGATTGCAGTGTACATTACTGTTGCTGTAGTTGTCTACATAACATTTGTATACATGATTTTCCATTTCCCGCTTTTTGCTAAAATGACGTCCTTATTACGTCACATTTTGTCCATGAGGAGTTCTAAACATGTGTACGGATTCGGTACGGTGATGGTGGACGTTAGAAGTCTTGGCAAGAAGCTTGCAGACGACAGAAATCTAGGAACGCTGTATGCTACCAGAAAGACGCTGAAGGGTTTGAAAGATGAAAGTCAGGCAAACAATGTTTGCTTTGACCTCTCGTTAGGCAGAACTAGAAATTTCGAAAACAATTTATTCATAAGTAGGCCTATAGAAATTATTACTGCGAGGCAGTCTTTAGAAAGTTACAATTTATTCACAATGGATATGAAACATCAAGGAGAAAGAAGCGTCAAAAGAAGACATTGTAACAGCTACATAACAGTTGATTCGCCACCCGGTAGATCTGGGAATCAAATGTTTCAAATTGCAGCGTTGCTAGGCACGGCATATAACCTTGACTTAATTCCTGTGATACCACCAAACTCCCCATTGTCAGAATGGGTTGAACTTCCAAATCTCATTGACCTAAATTTGACAGACGCTCAATTGTTTGTGATGAAATCGAGTGGACGATATTCTAGAGATATTAATTACTTGAATAACAAGAAAAATTGGACGCTTCGTGGGTATTTTCAGTCTTGGAAGTATTTCTCAAACGCTGAAAATATTGTAAAGAACGCGTTTAAGATCAAAGACTCCTTTCTTGGTAAGGTGGAGTCGTTTATTCGGAACATATCGCGACCTGGACAAGTAAATGTGTGTGTACACGTAAGAAGGGGCGATTTAAGCGACCATGTCGCAATGAGGAAAGGCTATTCTATAGCTGGAACGGACTTCATTAAAAACGCCATGAATTTTTACCGAGGAAAGTTTAGAAAAGTAAAATTTATTGTTTTAAGCGACGGTATACAATGGTGCATGGATCATATTAAGGGAATCGATGTAATGTTTAGTCCATTTTATAGATATGCCGAAGATATGGCGTTAATGACACTGTGTGACCACGTGATTGTAACTTCCGGAACGTTTGGATGGTGGGGTGCGTGGTTATCAGGGGGGACAACTGTGTATTTCAAAGGCTATCCAAGACCAGAAAGTTGGCTTGCTTCGCAAGTAAATAGAAATGATTATTATCCTAAAGGCTGGATTCCAATGTGAAATTTAGACGTCAGCAACGATAGTGTCATTACTATTGACAATCAGTTATAAATATTTGACAACTATCGTTGGACTATAACCTTTAAAATGTAACGATTATACAATCAGTAGGGCTATAGAATTTGATGAATTTGAAATGGGTAACTTGGAAGTACGTCGAATAATTCAAATTGTGATGCGCAAAATGATGATAAAAGAAACCACATGAATAGTCTGGTCAAGGGAACGATATCAATATTTTTTATCAGTATTATTATATTAAATAAAAGCCAAGCATAGGTTTTATAAGATATATTTTTCTATAATTATGAGTAGCTGAGTGGTTAAAGTCGGTAACTGTAAACCACTTGACTCTCACCACTGTAGGATCTATCCACGCAAGTGTCTTCGAATTCTTTCATTTGAGAAAGCTATCCAGCTAGCTAACGGAACGTCGGTGGTTCGATCTACTCAGGTTCCCGTCTGTGCCTATGCGCAAAGGAGCAACCGAGGTCTTCCTCCACCAATAAAGCTAGAAAGTCGCCATATAACCTATACTGTTTTTGTGCGACGTAAAACCCAATAAAGAAATGTGTTCTAAAGTTGCATACTAGTTGTATAGGATTGAAGTACGTCGAATAACTCACAGACACAAAGAAATCCTAATGATGTGCCAAATAATGATGTGTTAGAATGCAATGGTTGTGAATTTAAACAAAGTTTACATAATAAATATACAAACACTGTACATGTATACAAAGTAAATACGTTGATATAAAATACATATAGGTTTTATATTTATTTATAGGAGTTGAAAAGTTACCTACATATAACGTAAATAAAATGTCGGAATTACAAATAGCTTGTACTTTTTATATTGCTTCACCTCAAATAAACCATATGCTATAATCGCCCTATTACACTTCTTTATATTTTAATCTGCAAACGTGATACTGTTATTCAAGCCATTACAAGCCACTAACTCCCCTTTATTTCTTTTCTAAACTTATCATTTTACGGAAGTGATTCAAATATTGATAAAAACAGAAATGTGATATTTGGATAACTTTATGAAATATTTATCGGAAACAAAATGCTGATAGAGTTCTCAAGTGATTTGTTATGAACTTGCGTATGTATAAATGATGAATAATAATATTTTTGTTCTAGAACACTTTATATTATCTAATTTATTTGTCTTATCTGAGCATGCATCTTACACTAGCCGACATCATCCATAGATACATGTCATTATTATGATACTAAATATCACATTATGGTACTAAATACTATCTATCAACATAATCATTTTTGTTGTTAGAGATCTTTAATTATAGATCTATTCATTTTAAGAAAAGAAGAAAAATAATGTTTAAATTTTTACTAACACTTACACCTAATAAACAATCAATACAAAGTTAATACACAATCGATACACAGTTAATACACAATGCATAATTTATGCAAAAAGAGCCATTTTCAAGCAGCATGCCTATAATTTTCAAGATTCGATGATGCTAGACCTGGGCATTGATTGCCGATACTAACTTTTAAAAGGCCCATCACCGTTGGTTAAGTCAGTTTGACTGTATTCTTGGAGGCTAGAATAGGCTTTAGTTTTATGTTAAAAACTACTAAAAAGGTCTATCACAGTGGGTTTGGTCAGAGTGTATTCCTTGAGTCTAAAACTTGGCATTGATTTACGTTACTAACTACTCAAAAAGCCTGTCACCGTGGGTTTGGTCAACTTTACTGTATTCCCTGAGGCTACAACCGGGCATGGATTTCCGTTAATACAATTAAAAAGGTCTATAACCGTGTGTTTGGTCTGTCTGACAGTATTCCCCGAGGCTAGAACCTAGAACTGGACTTCCGATACTTTCTATTGAAATGGCCAAATACCGTGGGATTGGTCAGTTTGATTGTTTACCCTTGTGCTAGAATCGGGCACGGATTTCCGGTAATAACTACTTAAAAGGCCTATCACCGTCGGTTTCATCATTTTGACATTATTCCCAGAGGATAGAACCGGGCATAAAAATTCGTTACTAACTACTTCAACAGCTTATCAACGTGTGTTTGGTCAGCTTGAGTTGATTCCCTGATGCAAGACCCGGGCATGGATTTCCGTTAATAACTACTAAACATGCCTAAAACGTGGGTTTGGTCAATTTACTGTATTCTTTAAGGCTAGATCCGGGTATGGAGTTCCGTTAATGATTTCTAAAAAGGCCTATCACCATAGGTTTGGTCATCTTGACTTTTATCCCTGATGCTAGACCAGGGCATGGATTTCCGTGACTAACTACTAAAAAGGCCAATCAGTATGGCTTTGGCTTTTCCTGAGGCCATAACGGGTCATGGATTTCCGTTACTAACTACTAAAAAGGACTATCACTGTGGGTTCCGTCATCTTGAATGTATTCCCCGATGCTAAAACCGGGCATCGATTTCCTTTAAGAACTACTAAAACTGCCTAAAACATGGGTTTGGTCAATTGACTGTATTCCTTAAGGCTTGATCCGGGTATGGAGTTCCGTTAATGATTAATAAAAAGGCCTATCACAATGGGTTTGGTCAGCTTGAATGTATACCCTGATGCTAGAAACGGGCATGGTTTTCCGTTAATAACTACTAAAAAGGCCTATCACCATTGGTCTACCATTGCTTGACTGTTGTGTCAGTTTCACTGTATTTCCTGAGCCTGTCACCATGGGGTTTTCTGCGATCAGGACTCCATATAATTTAACACCTGGGCAACACCTCTATTTGATAAGTAGTAACTACATTTCGATTTAATCGGGGTATATACCTAAGGGAAGTTCGTAATATCAGAATTGCCAATATCTCCTTCCGATAAGGAAAGGCTCATTTAAGTTAGGTTTATGATATCCGAACGTGAGAGCAATATTATTACCAATATGTTTCTGTGATAAGGGCTTGTAGACAGGACTGATTTTAAGAAAATATGAATGCTAGAGGCATTTTATAGTACAAGTGATATATTGAGTGTTTTAACCTAATATGGGTATGCTGAAGACGATGAGGGTGGATACCAAGAAAAAAAATGACCTTGACCTTCAAAAGGTCAATTCAAAATGGCCGCTTAAAAATACTAAAATAGGTCATTAAAACTATGATACAATATGATGCAATTAATTATTCTTCTCAAAATCAAATGATTATTCAATATGATCAGATTTTAATGAGATTGACCACCAAATATAGCGATTATAAGCCTAATGGCTCAATTAACAGTTATTTACAGTACTGTTTTACTAGCGCGTTAAGGTACAAGACTAAGTTTGAAAAAATCACTTTTTATGTTTTGTTTACTTGACTTATATTTAACAATAAACTTAGTTTATAAATATTACCAAAGAATAAATATTTCGATATAACAAATTAATATTTCGTAATAACGAAATAATATTTCGTAATAGCGAATCAATATTTCGTAATTAAGATTTTATATTTCGTTAAAACGAAATAATATTTCTAATTGGGAATAATTATCTCGTGAAAACGAATTCAATTCAGGGAGAAAATGTGGAAAATGTCGCTTCAGGTGTTCCGTAATTTTCAACATTATTTGTAGCTATGATTTTCGTTTTCGATGAAGTCGTTTATTTTGTTTTCATATATTTTGCACTTATTATGGTATTTATGGTTTAAAATGAATATTTAAAACATATTTTGAAATGTCAAAAAATGTCATTTCAATGCCATAAACACAACACAAACCGAGACAAAAAAGTGTTTTAAAATATATACATATATACTGCACCCGAACCCCCAACCCCCCCCCCCCCCCAAAAAAAAAAAAAAAAAAAAAACAGGTCTTTAAAAAAAGGCAACAGTAGGAATCGAACCATAGACCTCTCACACATCAGTCAATCACTTAACCGGCTGTGCTACTGCGGAAGTAACGATGACGTTTACATTTTTAGCAGATATGACTTTCACTAACATTAGTTTTATAGTTTTTTTTTATTTTATGCTTTTCAGTGGATTACTGATTTATCCGTGAAAATTATATTTGATAATTTCACAGTGAAAATTATAAAAATATAATTTCACACTTTTCAATGACGAAACTACTTTCTTAAGATTTTCCCCATGTGGTACCTCAATTTTATTTTTGCTGACAATTCTGACAATGTCAGTCTGTTTAGAGAAAAGCAAAGCTGAAATTGATAAATAACTTAAATGTCAAAAGTAATAAAAAGAAGAAAACTTACTTCTATTCATTCAAATTACCAATCGAAAATTTTGGAATTCAGTCACGGTTTTGAGAAAATTCTACAAGAAGATTATCACATCATTTGATATACATTAGAATTCCGGGTACCCTCCAATAAATTTCCAGGATATCTTATAATAACAGCAAAGTTATCTATAAAAATATTACTTGTAAAAAATGGAGTAATATTTTCTTTGACCATATATAAAAGTCACGTGGGTTGGCTACATAGTGGAGGTGTTAAAATATAATTGTAATACACCCTTTGTTAAAGCCATTGAAATAGTATTTTATGTATAAAGGATTTTCAAAAATGGTTATTATTCAGAGCGGGCGCTATGGTGCAGTGGTAACACTGTCTGCCTACAAATCAAGGGGTCGTGAGTTCGATCCCCCGCTACTCCACTGAACGAATAAATGACTACAAGACTGACAAAACCAGGACATAGACACATAATGACGGCAACGATAGAAACAAGAGAAGACCTTAACGAACAGGAAACAAGTACCGAAAGTACAAGACCGAAGACGACTGCCGATAACAGAAAGAAGAACGGAGACAAGAACTGACTACAAGCGAAAAGAGACGAGGACCGATAACAGAATATCAAAAAAAAAAACTGACAATAAACGAACTGAGGCGTCGACCGATAACAGAAAAACAGACACAGTAACCGATAACTGTCAACAAGACAACGGAGACGAGGATTGATAACAGAAAAATAGAGACGGGGACCGATAGCAGAATAACATAGACGAGGACCGATAACAGAGACGGGAACCGATGCAGAAGGATTGACAACAAGAAAACGGAGACCAGGGCTGATTCCAGAAGAAAAGATACAAGAAACAACAGGAGAACGGAGAAGAAAGAAGACGAGAACCGATAACAGAACAGGACAGGGACAGATAACAAAGACAACGGAGACGGGGATTGATAACAGAGACGGGAACCGATGACAGAATATTAACAACAAGAAAACTAATTACAGAAGAATAGAGACGAGAACGGATGACAGAAGAACGGAGAAGAACGAAGACGAGAACCGATAACAGAAAAACAGATCATGTAACAACAAAAGAACTGAGGCCAGGACCGATTACAGAAGAACGAAAGTCACGACCAGTAACAGAAAAATGCGACGAGAATCGATAACAGAAGAACGAAGACGACGACCGATAACAGAAAAATGAACACCAAAACCCAAGAGTACTCAGAGTAATTAATATATATTGCACGCACGCGTTTTAACCCCCCTCACACATACTCACGCTGAGTAGACATCTGAGTAGCCATATGCTTGCATAGAGTGCCAGATAAAATACATGAAAGCGCTGTATCTAGCAGATAGCAGAAAGACTGCAGTGTTCGCTGCGTAAATGCCTTAAAGGGACTCCACTGAGGTTTAAAAGTCTAAAAACATAACATTTGAATTTCTTACATAAATGAGCTGGGGCACTTTAAACAGTAATATATGCAAAGATATTTAAGAAATATACTTTGAAATAAATTGAAAATCGTATTTTTATGCTTTTCTTAGACTAATTTGAGTGAAAAGCGTTTAAACGTTTTTCAGTTTGGGTCAGTTTTTTTACAATTTGAATAATTATTCTGGAAAAACGGTGTGCGCGAATGATCTGAAATTTTGCACAAAGATTAGTGGTCTAAACCTACATCAAATGGTACAATTATCTGGAAAAAATATTTTCAGTCCCATCATGTCAAAAAACCTCAGTGGAGTCCCTTTAAAGTTTTCAGTACTATCTTTAATATTACTTCTATATTACTATTATATTGGCCTATAGAGAAATGTCTGCCATCTTGGATTTTCCGGCCATATTGGATTGTTTATTTTTATTCTGTTTTGGTGTCTAATTTGTATTTACCTAAACATGCTTTGTGACAAATTTCAGGCTTTTCCATTCCTTAACAGTTTTATTTGATATATCATACATTTACGATAAAGAAATTTGGGTCATTTTAAATGGCCATTTCAATGGTAAAGATCAAGTTTTTCAATTTGGTATCCATCTTTATCGGATTCAGCATACCTTAAATAGGTAAAATACACCAAGATACCACTTGTACTACAAAATGCCTCTAGCATCTTATAGGGAGCCAAATTTTCAAAATCCGTCCTGAATATTGCTATATTTCGATTAAGATGGGTTGACGTTCACCACAGATAGAAGCGAAATTCGTGATATCCGAACATGATTGCATATATAAGTATTAGTTACATATAAATTTATTTTTCCCCAGAAGAAAAACTTACCGAGTTTAACTGCATTGTATTTGTATTAATATTGCTTAATATGATTAACTATTACATATATTCATTTTGCAAATAGAAAAACGGCCATCAATTTTTCAAAGTTCCATGACGTAAATCTCCTTTTCCATATTTGAATTTGGTACGTACATTACAAAGTGTAATATCAAATAAAATATGAGTTGGCTAAAATACTTGTTTCTTTTTATTTACTTTCATACCTAAAGTTGAATTTAACCTTTAGACTGTAGGCAGCAAACGGAACTATCCATGCGACCAGTGCAGACCAAAATCGTGATATCCGAACATGATTGCATATGTCAACATTTTTACTTTCTGATAAGTATTATCGTGCCGCCTAAACATGGCCTGCACTGTCTGCTATTCAGTCAGACCTTATTTTGAAATTTCCCCTAAATTGATAAATGGTTTCGTCCGAACTGAAACATGGACAAGTCCATTTAAAATATTTAGCGGGGAAATGGTTACTTTTTATATGCCCGAAGGAATTTCGGGCATATTATGTTATACCCCCTGGCGTCCGTCCGTCTGTCTGTCCGTCCGTACGTCCGTCTGTTAGCAATTTGGTTTCCGGAGCATAATTTAACTTCCATTTGGCCCACAATATTCAAACTTCATAGGGTGATTTCCCATATTGGGTAGAAGACCCCTATTGATTTTGGGGTTACAAGGTCAAAGGTCAAGGTCACTATTACCTTAAAACTGAAAACAGTTTCCGGAGCATAACTTAAGTTCCATTTGGCCCACAGTGTTCAAACTTCATAGGATGATTGTCCATATTAGGTAAAAGACCCCTATTGATTTTGGGGTCACAAGGTCAAAGGTCAAGGTCACTATTACCTCAAAACTGAAAACAGTTTCCGGAGCAAAACTTAAGTTGCATTTGGCCCACAGTGTTCAAACTTTATAGGATGATTGTCCATATTGGGTTGAAGATCCCTATTGATTTTGGGGTCAAAAGTCAAGGTCACTATCACCTTTAAACTGAAAACAGTTTCCAGAACATAACTTTAGTTCTATTTGGCCCACAGTGTTCAAACTTCATAGGATGATACAAGATACAAGATACAAGAAACTTTATTTTAAGTCGGTTTACATATTACAAGAAACATTAGCTAATAAGCTATTTACCGACAATAACAAAAGCATAAAACATATTTGTTAACATATAACAGTTCTGAAAATAAAAACATATAAAACTATTAGCAGCTTAAGCATGAAATAAGAGTATCAAGGTTAAGAAGAACTTTACAATAAGATGGTAAATTAAGGCATAGCTTGATGACATGCACAGTACATATTGTATTAAAGGTAATAACAGTTTCTAAAAGTAATAAATGACTGTAGTCTAGAAATTTAAGTATGATACATATAGCAATGTGAAATAAATAAAAATAATAATAAAAAATAAAAAAAAATTATAAAATAGTAAAAGTTATAAGTTAACATCTACAATTTATAAATACGTAATTGAAGGTTTCCTAAAAAATATATATAAATAAATAAATAGATAAAATTAAACTTACTTATAAAAGTGCATAAAAATTTATGATAGAACTTATACAGCATAAAAAAGAAACAAGATAAAGCACATTCAGTGTAACAAACAAAATTAACTAAAATTAATTTGCATGCACAGCCTAATGGAATGGGGAATAAGGAGTTTTAATATGAACAAAGCATACAAACACAACATAGATTCAACTAGCATAAAATACAAGGGTTTAATAAAAAATTAACACACAAAATATAATCAAAGCATCATAGCAAACTAAAAGGGATGCACAAAAGCAAGGCAAACAAACAAAACATGTAGTCTAAGCATTTACTTAAATTAAAACTAAGCAGAGAAAACAAACACATAGCAAATTTACAAGCACATAGCACATTTACAGCTTGGGCCACTCCAGACCTGGATCAGTCTCCCAAACTCTTTGTAATTTTCAACCTTGCGGATGTCATTAGGGAGACTGTTCCATATCTGGGCACCTTCAAACTTAAAAGAATTCTTACCGTATGTTACTGTTTTGACCCTTGGGACATTTACACTTTTTTGATACCTAAAAGAATAATTGGAATTTTTAAATTGAATTAAATCATTTATATATGGTGGTGATTTTCCGTACAGGCATTTAAACACTTCTTTGGCTATTATTTTAATTCTTGACAAATGTAAAGTAGGCATATTAACTTTTTTTTAATAATGTGTCATATGAAGAATTAAAATCATTAAATACTATTTTTAGAGCTCTATGCTGGAGTTTTTCAAGTTTTTCTGTGTTTGTTTTGGAGCAAAAATGCCAGACAAGGGGACAGTAGTTAAAATTAGATCTGATAAAAGATTTGTAAATAAGAAGAAGACATTCTGAATTTAAAAATTTCCTAATTCTTAAGAGCACATTTAATTGATTGGCAGCTTTTTTACACATTCTGGTGACCTGTATATCAAAGTTAAGTAAAAAATCTATGTCTACCCCTAGCAGTTTAACACAATCTTCACATTTTATTGTAACATTATCAATTTGAAATTCTTTTAAGTGTTCATTTGTTATTTTCCCAACAGCTATGATTGACAATATTGGGTAGAAGACCCCTATTGATTTTGGGGTCACAATGTCAAAGGTCAAGGTCATTATTACTTTAAAATTGAAAACAGTTTCCATACCCTCACTAAAGTTCCATTTGGCCCAGAGTGTTCAAACTTCATGGGATGATTGTCCATATTGGGTAGAAGACCCCTATCGATTTTGGGGTCACAAGGTCAAAGTTCAAGGTCACTATAACCTTAAAACTGAAAACAGTTTCCGGAGCATAACTTCAGTTCCATTTGGCCCACAATATTCAATCTTCATAGGAGGATTGCTATTTGAAGGAGATTATACTTTATTTAATTTATTTAATTCCCATGTCTTACAAATGCTTCATCCTTACTAAAAACAAAACACTTTCGGGCATATAATGCTCCGCCTAGCGGTGCTCTTGTTTAACCTTTGACGTTATCTACAAGAAATGTCCGTTTAGTACTGTATTGGTCTCATATACATTTGGCCCGATTTCTACATATGATAACAAAGTATTGTAATCTAAAAATAGAATTTATAAATTTTTAAACGTTTAACATGTTGGATTCTAATGTATACGGCATGAAATATGTCATATTAATTCTATGTACGGGACTTTTTATATATCCGTCAGGTAAATGGTCATTTTAGCAGTGGAATTTGCATATTCATTGACAAAAAATAAATAGTTATCTGTTTCATTTTAACAGCGGAACTTACATATTTCATTCACAAAAAAATGTTATAATTTTAGTATATTAATGTTACAGATACGAACGAGACTCCAATTCTCCAATCTCATATCACATAAACCTCTGACTGAGTATTTTTAAGAGCCAAACATAAATGTATAAACATTGTCAGACTGATTTTTGGACTTTGTATGTGTTAAGGGTTTACGTCGCACCAACACAGTATAGGCTATATAGCGACTTGCCAGCTTTATTGGTGAAGGAAGACCTCCATTACCGGCATTCCGTAACCTAGCTGGATAGCTTCGTCACATGAAAGAAGCGTAACTCTAGCGTGATTTGACTTGCGGTGAGGGGCAAGTGGTTTAAAGTCAACAACCTTAACCAGTCGGCCAAGGGCGCTATGTTATAAGACGATTTTCTAGTTTGTTTTAGTTTAAACGAAAGCATAAGTCGAATTACAAATGTTAGTCCCTGACGTGTACCTAAACATTTATACAGTTATCAATTTCCACATCCAAAATTTGATATAATATAAGAATTAGCATACGTCAGGCAATTTGATTTGTTTTTCTCAATCTTTCAGCGGCGAACGGCCCTCGTTGTTTCGACTGTTTACGGATGCCGTATCTTCATGAGTGCGATCACATAAAACAGTGTGGACCACATCAGGTATATAAAACCCACACATGTTATTTTTTCTTTTTTTTTTTTACTTTTTTGGCAACATGATAATTTTATGTTAATAATAGAGAAATAAGGAAAAAAGTAAAACGCCAAAATAATTTTTTTCAATAATGATACATGTAATAACCAACTTTCGGAAACAAAAAGTGAGGCCTCGTGTCGAGGCTATAATTTATTTAGTTGACGTCAGAACATTTGTTTTTATTGCTTAATAATACACTGAAATATACCATTTATAGGTTTGTTATTCGAAGCAGATTGTTTCCGACAGTGGATTTGTGTACTATGACACCGGCTGCATTGACCAATTGGTAACAAGTTTACATCTTAATTAACATTGAATAACGCAACAGTAATGTACAAGTAAAATGGTTTCCTGCGGGGAAAATTTTTAATTATATAAAGATATTTCATTTAACTATTTTCAATATTATTTGGGGCGGGGGGATAAATAAAATTTTGTATCAGGAATATAGTTGACAATAATTGATCAATATAGAAGAAGGTCTTTGGAAACTGGTGACCGTTGATGACCGGAGAAGGTCGAAGATAAAACAATAATTTCTTTTTAAGAAAATGATTAAATAGGTCTACCATTTTATTAGTCTCAATATTTCGACGGCAAGACAGACCGATTTTATAATCTGGTTTTTCATATATGTCTGTCTGTCTGTCTGTCTGTCTGTCGCGAAGGGCGACCATCATCTATATAAATAAGCCCTAAAGCGCACAATTTGTTGGGCTACCATTTTATGAATAATTCCGAGCAAAACAAAAGTAAACACACAAGTTTACGCAGAAAATATCTTTATTGATTATGGCAGATGCCACTACGAATACTTTTATTTGTAGATTTTCAGTATAAACAATTTATTGCTTGTAGAATTGGAGATAGATACATTAAACACATCATTCAAGTTTTTCCACCTTAAACGGTAAAATATTTATAGCAAATTAGAAATATCACGAAAGTTTTTTTGTTCTTAATTAGGTGTAATTCTGACTAATTCCCTAGATGTAAATCCTTAACGTACCGGCAACGGTATTTAGCCAGGTTTTGGAAAAGTTCAATTAACCAATCATGTACGGTGTACAAATCACATGCTCCTCCATGTACCGAAAACAGGTCACGTGCTCCTCCATGCCTCAAAAGTTAAACGCGTACCAATACCCTGCGGTCTCCAGACCGCAGGGAATAACCCCAGCCGCGTGGCATAACGGGGACTTGACCTGGATTCTGAAACTTTTGATTAAGGTCCCGTCTCGCAGTGTTGAGACAGTCTGATAATAAAATCCCCGTTACATGACCCGAACTGCGAGCATAGCATTGCCTCTACTATTTTTGCGCGTCCTACAAATTAGCCTGCTTGTTTGGTGACAAACATAATTAAGAAACTTGACTCATTTCCTCAAATGTTAGGGATCAATATTTCGAATGCTTTTTGCATAAATGTGCAGATATGAAGAAAAATACATTATATTTTACACCGTAACGGAATGATTATAACTCTATATATTGACAAAAGTGTAAAAGACTTGTGTTATTTAATAATCGCTACTCTAACAAATGTTTACTTAAGTTTTGCCCCTCAGCGCAGAAATAATGGGAAGGGCACCTGAGGTCTTCCTCCACCAGTAAAGCAAGGATGTCGCCATATGACCAAGACTGTGTCGGTATGACGGTAAACCAAAACAGACAAACACACAAACAAACAAACTTATGTTTCATGTAGTGCTCTATGATTTTGATTTACAAGATTTGCAACGCGAGAGATTCACTAACCGATCATGCAGACGACGGTCAAGCAGACGACGTTCAAGCAGATGAGAAAGGGGACATAATCACGTGTCTGGAGTGTTGTGATGGTGAATTTTGCAATGATCGAGGCTGTGGAACCAAAGGTAAAGCCATAACTATAGTGCTTTGAAGCAGAGCTACTTATTTCCGTAAAACACAACTCAAAGAATAGAAATGTTTTGAAAGTTTCAACCATCGGTACACCGGTCGTTTTATTGTAGTGGAGAAAGTGTCATATACGAACTACCCATTGGTTTTCTGCTCTTTCAAATTATCTTTGTCTACAAGAGTTTCTCATTCTTTTGCGCAGTTTCGATAGAATTTCATACAAATGTGTCGCTGTTCTTACTGTCATGTCGAGTGCCCTTTCGAAATTGCATATCCATTTAAAGTATACGAAATTTGATAAGAGCCAAGATTAGTGTTGGAAGATAATTGAATGATCTTTTCTACATTTGACTTCAATATTATGATTATCAAGGTATATTTTTGGGTTTAACTTATTACAGTTTTGGAACATAATTTTTGAACATATTAAAATGTATGATATACAGAAAAACAACCCAAATAACATTATATTAATAAAAACTCAACACGGTAATTATGTTTACATATCAGGCCTATCAACAAACCAGACTGGACCTTCATGCTTCGCCTGTCCAAAAGGGAGCGTCTCTCCGTGGCACTGTGATAAAGTTACAACTTGTGGCAGGGACGAGGTTTATACCACAATTTATATATTTGAAATGTTTAACATATTTAACATTTGATGGTCTCGTACCATGCATTAACCTAGCGAAACGGTGCTCATATAAAATCTATAAATCGTTATATTATAAATCAAACACACTCAAATAACAAGCCTCAATTGTCAATTTATCAATTTATATGGTAACCTAAAAGGGGCATGGAAGATGTTTTTTTTAAAAAATCTTTTACAATAAAATATTATAATAAATTTTCTAAGGAAAAAATAATCGCATTCTTAAATGTAATAGTTCTTAGCGAAAATTATTTGTCTTCTATTTTTTAGAAATGTTTTATTCAACAAGTCAGTGGCATTGGAGGTAATGTTCTGTATAAATCTGGATGTACAAGTTCGGTAAGAATTCTTTTCAGTGAGGGTCTTTGGGTTTTGGCCGGGATGGGTGGATGTGTTAGTCCGACAATGTAAAGATGACATTGTGAGTGTCCAATTTTTACTGTTCACAGTTGAAGTGAGACTTCGGACTTCCCTTCTTGCATTATATATAAGAAACGAGCGAACGTCCTTAATTTTTGTAGGCAGGCTTAAATAGTGTCAGAATGGGAGAAAATGCGTCGGTTTCTTAATTCGAATTTTAAACTGTCAAATCTGTATATTCATTAGCCATTATAGGGATGATATTGCGGTTCAGGGTCTGAGAAAATGCATTACTAGATGTCGGATCTAATTCCTTAAAAGCGAAGCACAAAACATCTTTAAGAAACTAAACTACTTATAGTTTTGACCGAAATATAATTCACCTACCTGTCTTCCCGCAAATAATTTGAAAATTCGATACTGAAATCGAAAAGCGCAGTATTGTAACACGTTCCCTACTGTGATTAAGTTAACAGCTAACTTTGCGCGTCTTGTTGTAACATATAAATGGATACCGTTACGTTACGGCGACAACTGCTGTGGATGATATAGGCTTCTCTCTACAGAAGTTCCGTTTAAGATTTACCAACGTCAATGACGTAATGAATTATAACGTAAACTAATAAACGTTTACATCATAACGGCATTATTGTCGTTTTAACTTAGGCGTTCAAAGTAAATAGTTTTGATGTATTTATAACATTTAACATTCTTGTGTGATAGTAAAACTACCAAGGCACATAAAACACAAGAAGTACCTACCATAAAACGCTCACAAGCAAACACCATTGGCAACATGAGGAACGATGGTTAGGAAACTACCCGCCCATATGACTGAAATACTGTTGGGAAAAGGCGTAAAATGAAACAAACAAAACATGAGAAAGGATAAGGCACCGCTTAAGAAAAGCTTTGCAACGGTCTGAAGCAGTTTTCTTCACACAAAAAAACCGGGAGCATCGAAAACTAAAACAAAAGGTGTAAAACCCGGACCATTTTATTGATCACATTTATAAGAGATGTGAACCGTGAAAGGTTATCTACGTTCCTTCCAACACCTACGTCATCATAGTTTAATATGAAAAGCCATGGCTGTCTTATATTATTCTTTTTCAATTAATTTGACCATGTGGATAATACATAAGTTCACTCCGACAATATATATATTGAAAACACCTTCTTATTAAACCGGAAACCATTATATAAACCCAAAGTGCAATATATGATACCTTGCCGTTCGTGTGTGAAATCAATGTAGCTTCACGTATATATAAGTTGATTTTATCAATTTATGATACCGATTCTTCAATATATGGTACCAAAGTAGCCATATATGGAACCAGATATCCTTATATATGAATCCGAATTATGAATATATTAATTAATTTTTAATATATAATGTCAAGTCGTCAATGTATGAAACCAAAGTATCAACATATAAGCTGATTTCACATTATATGGTACCAATTCTTCGATATATGGTACTAAAGTAACCATGTATTGAACCAAATGTCCTTATATGGAACTGAATAATCAATATATAACTTTTACCAAATTCAATGTCCTGGGCTAAGTCTGTTATGATTTTGTTACAATCTTTAGGTTTCAATGAAGCATGGATTAATCAGGGCGTTGGTGATATAAAATTTTTTTTAGCAATAGTAAAACAAAGATTAACAGATACATTTATACAAAATTGGTATGCAACTTTAAGAGATTCATCAAGAGCAAGAAGTTATGTATTATTTTGTGATTTTGGCTTTAAATCATATCTGTCAATGGTTAATATTGAAAAATTTAGGAAATCTTTATCACGTTTCAGGACTTATTCGCATAGATTAAAAGTTGAAACTGGTAGATGGCATAAACCTGAAGCAATTCCTTATAATGAAAGAAAATGTAATATTTGCTTAAAACTAGAAGATGAATTTCATGTATTATTAGAATGTCCACAATACAATGTTTTGAGAAAACAGCTTATAGATAAATATTATTGGAAAAAGCCAAATATACCAAAATTTATTGAATTGTTAACATCTCAAAATGAAAATGTTATAAGAAAATTATCAATGTTTATCTTTAAAATGTTTGAATTAAGAACAAATGTTGAATATTCGTAAATTATAGTACCTAGGAAGGTAAATGTAATGTTACTTAATTGATATCATTATGTAAAACTTATGCTTCATTTAAACCTTGCTGTAATATGATTATTCTGTTCATATTAAAGCAAACTTATGTCTCAAATATACAGTAAATGTTAAATATATGTTATATATGTTTAATGACCTTGATATTATGTTTCTGTATGTATGTATGTTTGTTTGTATATATGCTGTGTGCTCATGGGTATAATACCCACATGTATTTGGAATAAAATCTTGAATCTTATATTAATTCATTTTAGAATGTATGGAACCGAAGTAGCAATATATAAGTTGACAAATAAGGGTATCTGGTTCTATATATGGCTATTTTGGTAACATTTATTGAAGAATTGGTATCATATAATGTGATAACCAACTTATATATTTCTATTTTGGTTTCACACAATGATAAATTGGTTTCATATATTGTAAAATGAATTAATATATTGATAATTCGGTTTCATATGAGAATATCTGATTCCATACATGGCTACTTTGGTACAATATATTGAAGAACTGGAATCATATATTGAGAAAATCAACTTATATATTGCTACCTCTGTTTCATACACTGAGTGTATGGTTTCATATATTGTAACTGTGGATTAATATAATGGATTCTGGTTAAATAACAAGGAGTATAGTCGAAGTGAACTTATATATTATCCAAATGGTTAAATAAATTGAAAAAGAACAATATAAGACAGCCATGGCTTTTCATAGCTTTCCATAGTTTAATCCTTTGAATAGAATTTATTTCGAAGGATCGAAAATATAACAACAGTAGGATAAAGTACGGGGTAACTTGATAAAAGCTACCGAGAGATGTTTTATGGAAATGACGCGGCCTTGAAATCGCCAATCTGTAGACTAGCATATTCTGCTGACTTGCAATGGTGGAGAACAAACATTGGCATAGTTTTTTTGTTTTGTTTTTTAATTTCTCATTCACACAAAGTCAGTTCGTTATGAATTAAATAAAATACGTAGGCTGGTGTAACACATCATTTTGTTGATTTTTCTCCTTCGTTAACGTCCTTTAACATTTCTGCTGAACATTGCTCAAACAGTGTTATTATTTCCGTAACCATATTGTTACTAAAACAAAAACACTAATTGGCTGATTTTTTCCCGCTTTTCCCCACACATCGAGCGTTGTTATAATTACTTTATTTTACTCTATTTTTAAGTGTGCATTTGATTTAATTGGTGTGGGTACAATTGTTGGAAAAAGATCACTGGCGACTGGATGTTCGGGTTGTTGTGGGACAGATTTCTGTAACAGGTAATTTCTTTTAATTTGCATGCATCAATTCATGTAGAAATAGAGGATATTTGTTTGTTTGTGTGTAAGATGAAATTTTATTTCATCGAGTGGGCTTTAAAAACAGTATTCTCACGAGTGGCGTAGCCACGAGTGAGAATACTGTTTTTAAAGTTCACGAGATGGAATAAAATTACATCTTACACAACAAACAGACAAATTTTCTTTTTATTTTATGCTTAAAAACGAAATTTCCATGATTTTAAGTTAATATTAAAATCTGTTTCCCCCATTGAGAGCCCCATTTAGTCGGAATTTCTCACTAAAAACAAGAAGTCTTGAGCTGAAAAATAAGTCCGCCAATCAACGTTAAATGACGGTGATATTTATTCATTTTATTAAAAAAATATGAATGATCGCTTGTTTTAATAATAAAAACAAACAATTCTTGTAGGAGAAAAGTCGAACCATCCATCCATATTTCTGTTACTTACTGCGAATTTATATTAGACCTGGCTTTGTAAAATGTAAACGGCAGCCATTTTTTAAAGTTGTGTATTTCATGGGAGAAAAATAATTGTGTAAGATTCAGAGGGATATAATTTGGATTTCTTAGTCATACACCTTTTTAAAAGAAATAAAACTTATTTGAGGATTGTAACAGACAAAAAATAAGTGTTTACAGATGTGAAAACATTCAGAAAAGGAGCTAGGAAAATGGAAAACTTGGAAGCTTGCTCAAGAACGCTGGGATGTTTTACTTATTCTTCGAGTGAAGGCTGTCAATGCTTTTTAATTTTTCATAAAGCATATGGCAGTTATTGCTCGTAGGATACTTTAATATGCCCAAATGTCATCAAGAGCAGTTTTTCATGGGGAAGGAATGTATTTTTCAGACTGTAAAAATGAAATAAAAAAAATTAGAGACGAAATTTGGTGATTGGAATTTGAATGAGTAGAAGTAAGTTTTCTTCTTTTTATTACTTTTAACATTTTAGTTATTTATCAATTTCAGCTTTGCTTTTTCTTTAAACAGCCGGACATTGTCAGAATTGTCAGCAAAAATAAAATTGAGGTACTTCATGGGGAAAATCTTAAAAAAGTAGTTTCGTCATTGAAAAGAGTGAAATTATATTTTGATAATTTTCACTGTGAAATTATCAAATTTAATTTTCACGGATAAATCAGTAATCCACTGAAAAGCATAAAATAAGTATTTTTAATCGGCTATCGGGTTCAACATGCATCTTTTTTCTATTCACGAGCGCACACAAGTAGAAACAGATGAATTTTATGTTAAACCGCTACAGAAAGTAGTTCTACGGGACAGCTTTTATTTGCTACAACATTATTTGATTACAACAGTCTCAAATAAGGGAACGAATTCATACGTTAAAGGTATTTATCTAGATCTGATGTTGTTTCTGATATGCTTCAGTTCCGAGTTCTCACTGAAGGTGTCTATGGACAAAATTTAACGCTAAATTGGCTGAATTTATATTGTCTAGTTCAATCAATATCAGTCTGACAGAAGCGAACAGCAGCAAGGGGGACATTGTCCGAGGTTGGGGAGAAAATGTCCGTTTTCCGCAAAAGGTCTAGTGGGGGGGGGGGGGGCAAATGTCCGTTTTCCGCAAATGGTCTAGAACCTTTAATATCACAGTTTAAGCATTGCTACTTGCTACTGGCTCTCTTGACGTGGTCTTTCAAATAGAAATTATATTTTAATCAATTTGAAAGTCCCTGTTTGAAATCAAGACATTTGTGGAACCTTTTTATCATCGGATCATCGTGACTATCTTTACTGTAAATATTAAATACAATGTTATAATCAATAAAATGAAAATGAAAAAAAGCCACAACAAAACGGTACCTTGTACTCTATAGCAACTGCTCATTGCTGGAAAACAATGTTCTATCACCAACCAAACACGCTGTCACGGTGGAATCCACGCAGACGATTACAATCACTTCCGGGCAACATTCTACTTCAACTAGTAAGTAATAGTTTTTTTTGCTATTTATAAACATGTTCGCTTTATCTTTTGATGCAAGACAGAAAATCTGCTGAACATTGCCACAGATTACCCTTATTCGTCGACATTTAATTAATCTATTATTATTTTTATCAATAGCATTGTCATTACAAATAAATACATTCTTACGATACATGTACATCGTTTCATAGTAATAAAAACATTCCATCCGGAACACGTCGCGTATTTCTCATATCCGACTGACTAAGTGTGACGGAAAAGCCCGTTTGTGATTGGTTTAAACATATTTTATTTAGAATATTTGTACATGTGTAAATAACAACATAACAATAATTATAGATTTTGGCCGAAAGCAGAAGCTTATAGAAGCCATTATCTAACAATAACAATCTTCAATGTCTGTGGTGGTTGTAATTAACAAGTTACCAAAAAAAAAAAACACATTTGATAATGCTAGATTGAAAAAGAAAAATGAAATGTTAATGGTAAGGACAAGATTTTAGTAAGTTTTGACAAAAATTAAGTAAAAAACTACAGAAAACAACTAAAGAAAAAAACACAAAAAGGACATTAAACAAATAAAGATAAGGACAAGAAAAGAATATAAGCAGCATAGTAGTAGCAGTCAGACATTATATAAATCGTTTCGTAGAATCAATATAAAGGTATACAGACTTGAAAAGCTCTACGTTTTGGTTGTTTGAAAGGGAATTTGAACCATGCAATAGCAGAGTGTGAGTTATGATCAGTTGTATGATGTTCCTATAGAGAATATCTCGCATATGTTGATACAAAGGACAGTTTAGAAGAAAATGACACACTGATTCTGTTTGACCACAGGCGCATGTGTTTGATTCGGAAATATTTTTTCGGAAAAGATCATCATTTAAGGAACTACAGCCAAGTCTTAAGCGAGTATGCAGGATTTGAAGTTTGCGAGGCCCTGTGTTAAAATAATTAGGAGGTTTGTGTGGGTTTGAAAGAAGTCGCTTGAATTGTTGTAAAGATTCTGATGATTTTGTATTCTGAGGGAGCGTGTTCCAGGAACGGATGCTAGACGGGATGAGAGAGTTTTGATAAAAGGATGTTCGACAATAGATAGGAGGAATATCAGAGGAGTTTCTGAAGGTGTATCTTTCGTTTTGACGTGTTGGGATTAGAGTGTTTAAGTAAGTGGGACATAAACTATTTCGAATTTTGTAAATAAAGACCAGTTTGTGATTACTACGTCGAGTTGATAATGATTCCCATCCTAGGTCGTCATAAAGTTTTTCAAGAGAACAAAAGTTTAGTAGCACCTGTGACTATTCTGGCAGCCTCGTTTTGAATCATATCTAATTCATGCTTTTCGCTAGCTGAACAATTATCAAAAAAGTATATCTCCATACTCTAATAATGGACGGATAAATGTCAAATATAATGTTTCTAATGTATTTCTGTCGAGTGTAAATTTTAGACTACGGAGAATATTGATCCTTGTCCAAGCTTTGTTTTTAATATATTCTAGATGATTTGACCATGAACAATCGTTTGATAGAACAACTCCTAAATGTTTGTGAGAAGAAGCTTCAGAAATGACTTGGTTTTGCAGAAGTAGGGGAGGATGTTGTGTTTTGATAGCTTTCCGAGATATAGTCATACATATGGTCTTTGCTGGATTAAACGAAACCAGCCATTCTTTAGACCATTGGTTAATCTTTTGTAAATCAGAGTTTAGTACATTTGCTGTTATTTCGGGTGTATTAACGATAAGGGATAAACTTGTGTCATCTGCAAAAAGTCTGATGTTGGCGTCGATATCTATTACAATGTCGTTTATAAATATAAGGAAAAGCAGTGGACCGAGAATGGATCCTTGAGGAACACCAGCCTTGACGTAAAGAAGAGAAGATGATGATCCCTGGACAGTGACTCTTTGCTGCCTATTGAATAAGTAGCTTTGAAACCAAAGAAGTAAATCTCCACGAATTCCAGCAGATGACAATTTAGTTATGAGTCCTTTGTGCCATACCCGATCAAAAGCTTTGCTTATATCACAAAATACAATTCTAATTTCCTTTCCATTGTCTATTGCTTCACAGAAAGAATTATAAATTACTGATAGTTGGTTTATAGTTGAGTCGCCTTGGCGGAAACCAGACTGATATTCTGTTAAAATGTTGTTGCTAATTAGATGATTATATACGTGTTTGTAAACAGCTTTTTCTAAAACTTTGCTTAGGGAACAGAGAAGTGAAATTGGTCTATAATTACTAATTACATTGGTCTCATTCTTTTTATGAACTGGACATACGTTTGCAACCTTCCATTGAGTAGGAAAAGTACCGATAGACAGAGAATAATTGAAAATATCTGATAAAGGAACAGCTAATTGAGACGATATTTCTTTTAAAACGCGATTGTTTATTAAATCAGGACCAACTGCTTTCCCAAGTGGTAGTGTTCGTAATAATGGTTCGATATCAGATGGTTCAAAGTGAAGTGATGATAGAGTTGAGGAGAAAGAATAAATTGGTGGAATGGGTTGCCAATCAGGTTCGTCAAGAAATGTTTGTTGATCGAAGAAACGATTGAAGGCGTCCGCCTTTTCCACGTTGTCATATAGAATATTTGAGTCATTGAGCAGTGGAGGAATAGATCTTATTTGACTATTAGGGGAGATAAAAATTTTAACTGTGGCCCACCATGATTTATTAGATGTTTTATTAGTGAGAGTCTGGGTTAATTTGGCTGTATATTCTGATTTAGCATCTCTAATAAGGGAAACTATTTTATTTCTAAGTTGGCGGAATTTCGACCAGTCCGAAGTTCGATTATGGAGCTTAGCTTGTTTGAAAAGACGCTTGCGTTTGCGTATAAGTCGTTTAATTTCACCTGATATCCACTGTGGTTCTGTGGGTCTGATGGTGATTAACCTATTAGGAATATATTGGTTACAAAATTTAAATATGGTAGATGTAAATGCAGAGACCCATTGGTCAATATCAGTGTTACGAATGGTCTGCCAATCAAATTGTTCTAAAGAGTATCTCAATGCATTATAATCTCCTCGGTCGTACAGCCATATTTGACGGGAGTGAGTCTGACATTTTGGTTTAGTAAATTTAAAAAGTGCAAAAGTGGGACAATGATAACGAATTTGCTGATCGAAAACTGGTTCACCAACGCCACTAAGTACCAAACTACGTATGTTTTTTAAAAGAATAAGATCTATGACGGATGAAGACGTTTCAGTGAAGTGAGTTGGATCATTGATACATTGAGCAAGCCCAAATTGGTTACAAAGGTGTAAAAGTTTTCGCTTGGATGCGGGTATGGCAGGATTGAGGTTAAAGTCGCCAACAATTGTAATGTTTTGAATACCAGAATTAAGTGCAAGGTCAAAAGATTGTTCAATTTTAAGGTCATATTGGGCATCAGAGTTTGGTGGGCGGTAGAAGAGTCCAATAAGCATTTTAAGGTTCCGCTTTAGAATAAGTTCAATCCAAATACATTCAATATCTAAGAATTCTAAGTCATGCCTTCGAACATAAGCTAAATTTTCGTTGACGTATAATATAACACCACCATATTTGTCATGTCCTCTGTCTCTGCGCTCGGGAATATGAAAATTATTTAATAGTAGTGCACTTGTGCTAACCGATGAATGTAACCATGTTTCGCTAAATGCTAATATGTCAAAAGAATCGAACTCTGTCTTGATAATGTCAATTTTGGGTAAAAGACTCTGGACATTGTAATGTAGAATGGACAAGTTATGTGAAATATCAAATGATGTATCAAGTGATGCATGTGAAAATGAGTTGTCGGGCCCAGGATGCGGATGAACGTTTGTGATTGAAGATTCCCCGCACGTCTCGCGTCTGTATTGTTAAACTTAAGCTATTTAGAAAAAATAAATGTAGCTATTTTAGATCTACATAAAATTTTAGTTTGATAATTTAAACCTTGCAATAAATTGTATCACATGACTTCCCATGTTTTCTTTTACCGCGTCTTTCTTTATATTACGCACGTGCAATGGATAACGGCACTTTTATTCTCTGTATATACATGAAATGTAACGGAACATGAAGTGCAAGGAACCATATGTGTTGTTTTTTGTTTGAATATCTAAAAAAATGTTAACATAAAATAAAAGCTTGTACAATTATTCAGTGCCAACCACCACGGCGACGCCCGTATGTCGACATAGCCACTACATCTACGCGGCAATGCAAGGCACGTGCTACCACGTGTACGACAACAAACAGTTATCGATGTCGGCTGCCAGGCAGGAATGTCAGAAAGAAGGAGCCGATCTGTTACAACTAAAAGATTCAAATGCTGAACACTTCTTTCAACATTTAACTTTTAATGGTATGTATAGCACGCAACGACTGTCTAATTTTCAGTGGTATTTATAATCATTCTTCCAATTAAAGGAATATAATGGCGATTACATAGTATTTAATGAACGCAGAAAATACATAATATTTCCTCCCAAAACTAAAAACATCTGTATCATTCTGTAATGTTTTATGAAAATAATTGACAGAAAAAAATTCTGCGAGAAAAAATGGGCATGTAGGCATCAGCAAAGAGGCGGGTCCATGCTAGCCTGGTTCCCCGTCTTTACATTTACTACGGAAAGTAGGGGAAGAAACTTCAGAATATGTCCATGTATCCTTAAACCACTTTCGCTCATATTACTTCAAAATTTCACAGGTGTAGAACCAAATCTATTGTGATATATATTAAATAAAACAAAGAATTTTAACAAACAGTAGTTTAGAGTAAGAGAATAATCGGCATATGTCCTAAAAGCAATTTGAACGGATAATTTTGGTATGTTCTGATGCATACATCACTTCCGCCAAGGAAGAAAAATATTTTTGGCTTTGACAACAGGTTAATAAAACATTCGGAACACCTCGTCAATAAGCATAGTCCTTATCTGAAGTTTGACGGAGAGGCCCCGAGAAGTGTTGATTTGATTGAGGATTTATATTAATATAAGTATTTATTCCAAATTCTACAGATAAAGAAAATAACAACCGACGATACTGGTTGGGTGCACATAAGCACACTGACGGTAACTTTTACTGGCTCGACGGACGTCAGTAGATTCGAGTTACGAATGGGCTCCCGGGGAACCCAACAACTACCTAAACAAGGAAGAATGTTTGGATTTGACCTGGTTTGCTGCCAACCCTGGCTTTAATATACCGGAAGCGTTTGCACTCAATGACGATAACTGTGACATGAACTATTTTTATATTTGTGAAGGTATCAGTACACTAAAAGAGGATAACGTCGGTGGGCTTCGAAAAGGCCCTATCTCAATTTTTGCGAAAATCGTTTTAGGTCATTTTCTTGACAAACAAACCGAGGCGCGGATTGTGCGAAAACACCCGTTTAGATAGCCAATCGGAAAGTGAGTTTATTGCCATGTGAGAAAAAGACGTATAATTTTTGGATGAAAAATTTGTTCCGCGAAAATGCCCGATAATTTTTAGGAGTGAAATTAGAAAGTAAAAACGGAGAAAACTGGGCTTTTCTTATGAAAGTTTCAAAGATCAGGTATGCTTTTTCTTTTTGACAGTGGAAATAATGATGTGTTTCGTATAGTATGTAGTTATATGATAAATAAAATCATCAATACATTGGGCAATGGGGATTTCACATACAACGCTTGTCAGCTAGGTTAAATTTTATGCTAAGAAAACTATTTTTAACTTGTTTTTCTTAAACCTTAGATTTTAGTTTCATTCTTTACACCAAAATGTATCAAACTGATAAATCTGAGCTACATTAAAGCTGTTAAAATAACTTTTATAAATAATAGGGCATTTTCGCATGCTAATTTTTTGGTAAGGTTTGTCTTATAAGGCATTTTCTTATATATTTTGTAAGACAATATTTATGTTCCTTATTTTCATACATCACTTTTATTTATATTTTCAGCATGTTTAAAGATTCACAATCACACCCAAGACTGGTAGACATTTATTTTCTCGGAGAAATAACATATAGTGTTCTTTAAAAAAGGTAATATTTACATAAATAAATATGCAACTACTTGTAAATTTAAATAAATAAATAAATAAATAAATATTTAATTGTCTTAATACCACATAGATTTGCAATTATTTGTTTTGTAAGGATTCTCATTAAGATTATAATTAAGAGTTATTTAAAGACCAGGCACGTACTGATAATCATCAGACTTAACTGGGATGTTATGTTAGATGGTTGCTACGTTCATTTTATAATCATTAAATTGTTTTCTACCATTTCACGTTATTACAGGTGTCTGATGACCACTATCTTGATAAATGTTCAATATTTCAATTTTGAATTATTGGACTATTTGATTTGTAACAACTGCAAAGTGATGACAATAACACGTAATCTATTTACAAAAGATGAGAACAACTTCTGCCAGAAATCCTATTTTTGAAAGACTTCAGTGATCTCGTGTGGCTTAAACCGTAGGGAAAGGGCTTGCGGTTTTATCTTACGTGTCTGTTTGACTTCAGTCTAAATGCGACTGAGAAGGTCATTTGACTACACTTTTTCTTCTTTCAAAGTCCAGTAAATGGCCAAGGTCGTCAATCTACTGTAAACTCATTTGAAAAAGAGAAACCGGAACATTATGTGAACAAGGCAAAACGTATCATGGTTTTCTTTAAAAAAATTCTTGGAGAACATCTTGACTGAAGACAATAAAGTAAAAGAAATAGTGATATAGATTTACAGGTGTTGCTACCAATACCAAAAAGTGACACTTGGAAATTCTTAGCAAAGACTTGCAAATATAACACAGAAGCTTATACAATAAGGCCAGGCTCAGATGGAGGTGGGCGTAGTTTATAGTCAAATTGAACGGAAACTTAAAATTACACTCATATATTCTCTTGTTAACTATGTTTGTTTGATTGGGTTTTACGTCACACCGACACAGTATAGGTCATATATGGTGACGTCCCAGCTTTACTGATTGAAGAAGACTTCAGTTGCCATTCCGTTCATTATTTCAGGCACGAACGGGTACCTAAATAGAACCACAGACGTTCCTTAAGCTATCTGGATAGCTTCCTCACATGAAATAATCCAAAGTCTCTGTCAGGATTCGAACCCATAGTGGTGAGGGAAAGTGCTTTGAAAACAACGGCCACGGATGCTCAATGTTTTAAAACTGCTCGCCCGAGTTACCTATATGAGGTTAAATAACAATAGGCATGATTTCTTGAAGAACTTTACGATATCGTATGAAACCATTAGACAGGGAAATACTTGTTAGAACAATATGACTTGGTGCTTTTGATGTGACACTTCTAGTGTTTGCTTAATACATTTTTGTATGTCATGTAGCAGCATATTAATAACATGACTGTTTATTATATAGAGAGTTATGATGAGAAAAATGCTAAATGCTTATTTTACGAAATGTTTTGTTTTTAATTGACAGTATATATCCAGATTCATGGTTATTTTCACTAAAATTTTGAAATGTTTTTGAAATGTTAAAATACTGTGAAGTTAACAATAACAAAATGAAACAAAGTTCAAACAGCACTTTACATATCAAATAGAGAACAAAATATGAAAAGGTAGCACCTACTGTGTTAGTCATGCAATAAAATTTTGTAATAAAAATGTAAAACAGTAATTAATCGACCAAAAAAATGTAACTTTTTACTTAAATCATTATACTTTCCTTCAAATTGTTTTACATATTTTTAAAATGTTTTGCTTATCTGAAGGCATGAAGCTCTTAGAACTTAAGAACTTGGTATTAGGATTGATGTTTTTTATCTGTATGGTAAATAATAGAAAAGGTAATATTGGTTGTTTGGGCAGTATACTTTTATTGGTGAAGCCAAATTGACTACATATTAAAAGGTTTTATGTTTCGGAATGTTTGTAGTTTTTTGTTTCATTTTTTAATATTTCTTGTCGTCTTAAAACATAATAACACTTTATTCCCAAAATCCTTGAATTTCTTTAGGAACATTGATGAATAGTACTGGTAAATGTGTCTCGTAATGCCATTATGAACCTAACAAGAGTATGTTAACGTGTGCGAAAGGGCCTTATAAGACCATTTGAGACCCCTATTTGGCAATTTTTGCCATGTGAAAAGGACGTATGGGCATTTATTATGAAACAGTAGGGTTTATCATAACCAAATTAAATGTATTTAAAATGAAATTAAATGTTCATTTTTATCTGTTAATTTCATTTCTGTATGTGTTTCCATGCCAAAACTAAACGGTTTTTTCCATCTCCTGAAAAGTAGCACTTTTGCAGATAAGGCCTTTTCGAAGCCCACCGACGATAAGTATGGTTATCGGATTTAACGCCCTACAGTGATGGAGCAGTACATTTAGACGCTCACAGAAATCATGATAACACAGTAGAAAATACCTCATAAATTATTTTCGCCGATTTTGTTTCCATTTTTCATTCATTATCGTATTCAAATCGGTGAGAAAAGATGAATAAGACATACTTAATGTAAAAAGGCGAGATTTTAGCTTTCAATTGAATCATCCCAGCGCCTTGTCCGGTATATAGCGGAATACGGTATTTAGCGTAGTGCTCCGATATTGGGTTGTAATCTGAGGGTCACTGATTTGAATCTCGGGCGCGACGTAATTTTTGCGTTATGATTGAGTCTTATGGCCTTTTAAAACTAATGGTTAGAAATCACTTGGGATAAGAAGTAGGCAACTTTCGGAAATATTGGCAATTACTGGTTAGTTATCCAGGAAACCCGGGTAGTTGAAATATTCGCTGCGATATGATCAAAACATATGTTAAAATCGGCGTAAAACAGAAGAAGAAAAAAACAACAACCAAATATTGCCTCTATATTTTAAAGCCTTTCTTCTTTAATTTCTAAAACAAAAATAATGACAAAAACAATTCCAATTCTAGAAAAAACGTATGTAATTCAATAGTCAAGAAATTAATATTTTCACAATGAACAATTAAATATGCTTTGATTTTATTTCCTTTATATTTGGGAATAAATTATGGTAGTGAACGTATTTGCGTAGTGCACATCAATACATCAAAATGTCGTCTGCTAGAAAAGCAATAAGATTTGAGCCGTGTCATGACAAAACCATCATAATGGGTTTGCGACCAGCATGGATCCAGACCAGCCTGCGCATCCGCGCAGTCTGATCAGGATCCATGCTGTTCGCTTACCAACCCTATTACAAGTAGAGAAACTGATAGCAAACAGCATGGATTCTGATCAGACTGCGCGGATGCGCAAGCTGGTCTGGATCCATGCTGGTCGCAAACGCATTACGTTGGTTTTGTCATGACACGACTCATTTATCATCTTCCAACATAGTTAAAATGCCTAATACAAAAAGAAAATTAAAAACATTTTGATATTTGTAAACGTAAAAAAAAACATGTTGATTAAATGTCTCAATACAATGTTTTAGATAGACCGAATCATATGCCAAACACGTGGGTGACGCACGCAATGACATCACAGTGGACGCCCGCAATGACATCACAATGGACGCCCGCAATAACACAGTGTCGAAATAGCCACTATATTTATACTGCTGTACAAAGCACGTGCTACCACGTTTACGACAACAAACAACTTTCGATGTCGGCTGCCAGGCTAGAATGTCAGAAGGAAGGAGCCGATCTTTTACAGCTCAAAGACGCGAATGCCGAACACTTCTTCCAACATTTATCTTACAATGGTATGTATGGAACGCAAAAGCTGTCTTATATTTCAACATTACATTTTATCTTCCTTACATGCGGATATATTAAATAAAAAAACACCACAACCTTTCTTAATCTAAAATTATAAGATAGTTCTACGAGTATTTGGATTTTTGAAGTTGAATTGTATTTCGTTATACTATATTATTTTTTTTAGAATCTATTCACTTTTTTTATTGTAAAATACACCCAGTCCGGTTTTTGATAGTGGGTCGTTAACGTCACTTCCGCCAAGGGACTTTACTCTGATATGTAAATTGTAGATAAAGAAAACAACAATCGGAGATACTGGCTTGGTGCCCAGAAACACAATGACGGTAATTATTTCTGGTTCGATGGACGCAAAGTAGACTCAAGTTATGTCTGGGCTCCAGGTGAGCCAAATAACTACCTGAACAGGGAAGAATGCCTGGATATGACCTGGTTTCCTGCAGTAACTGACCTTCATATACCGGAAGCGTTTGCTTTTAATGACGACAACTGCGATACGAGCTATTTCTATATTTGTGAAGGTATTATTTATATTGGCATGTATATTATCTGAGAGTCCGTTGAACTGCATAGAAATGACTTTTTAAACATATGTATTGCAAATAAATTTAAGTAGGAGAATAATTAATGATTAAAATTGATATAAAATACTTTAGAAATATGACATAAAATCAGTAATAACAAACGCTTAGTAGCCTTCAAAAAGTGTGAAAAATTATACATGTTGTTTGATGTATTTCATTTAAACAATAAAACAACTTTCTGATTTTTTTTCTCAAAAACTTTCATCACCGAGACTATGTTGAGAATTGTCCGCCGTACATTTTGTCAGGCAGAGTGTAACATGGGTTCGCATCCATTGAACTCCGCAACTTTATCCATCCGGTCAAGTAGTAAGCCTTTAGTTTTTATCTAGTTTATAGTTGATAAAATTGATTTGATCTTTTCCCAACAGACGTTTGCTTGGTTTAAACAGTAGTTCAAACATATACAATTATGTACAACAGCATGATATAAAACAGGATTGAAAAGGAAGTCAATGACCTAGGAACGTTTTCATGGTCAATATAAAATTTATCTTCCGGCTTCCTTATACCCTTAAGATATGTCAAATTATATTTCAAAGAATGATTTGATTTCTCTATCTTTATTTGCAGAAACAAGAGGACACTGAATAACGATTTATAAGTGTCGTTGCAAATGAAATGTTTGTATAAATGGGAAAAATAAAACACAGACTTTCTTTGTGTCTGTTATATTAACAAATCTAATATTTATATTGATTTTGTTTAAATGCTTCTCTACTTTTTTAAAACTCACTAGCAGATGGTGTCTACATAAATATACATGTATATATTCATTTTCTTGTGTTCTAAACGCTACATTATCTAACGAAAAATCAAACGCTCGTAAAAAATGGCAAATTTCGCCATTTTCCGTTTGTAATAAAAACAAAACAGAAACAAATAAGCGCCGAATGACCACGAATAACGAAAGATCATTGTCATCTTAACTGAATTTGATTTTAATATTTTAGATACAAAATCTGAAGAAATATTGAGATTTAAACATATAAATGATGCAATTTAAAACAAATCTACATAGAACATCAAGCTGTCGCTGTATCGATACAATTTTAAAACATGTAAAAGGAATAACAATGTTTTAAGATCTTCCGATAACCCACTGCCAATCTTTATTTTTATAGAAATATGTTAGTTTACAAGTCATTAACTCATTACCACCTTGAATCTAGTCCAATAGCACGTGCCAAGACTATTTTGCCTTTACAGTAGATATCTTATACCTTGGTTTAAACATATTTATTTAAGCTCGATTGTGAAACAAGGTCTTGCAACTTATATTAATCACTTTCGAGGCCGCTTCCTGGAACAAACCAGTACTGGTGTCGTATGAAGAAACATGGTCGTGACCCGAGTAGGGCTCGAACCCATGATCTCTGGTTCGAGAGGCAGACACCTTAACCACTAGGCCACCGCTCCCCTTATCTTATACCCGCAGTGGAAGAAGCATTGGATTCCTCCGTGACAGATGATCTAGGACATTGAATCTAATCTCACCGCTGATTCAGAAACCATATGGGATAAGTAGTCGTTCACTTGCGGAGGAATCCGTAATTTCTGGTCCGTCATTTAGGAAGGCCGGTAAGGTGAATTGACCGCCGAAATATGTGTAAAAATCGGCGTAAAACGATATAAATACGATATAAATACAAAATATTAGACTTTTGAAATTAAGACCCCTTTAAACAATGAACATTTTTCCTAATTCAAAACATATAAACCGCTTAAAACAATGAACATTTGTCTCATTCAAAACATTAAAACACCTTAAAACAACGAACAGTTTTCTAATTCAAAAGGTTAAACTCTTAAAAAGCAATAAACATTTTTATAATTCAAATCATTAAAACCCCTTAAAACAATTAGACAGGAGTGATTTTAAGAAAATATTAATGCTAGAGGCATTTTATAGTACAAGTAATATCTTGAGTGTTTTAACCTAATTTGGGTATGCTGAAGACGATTAGGGTGGATACCAAGAAAATAAAATTGACCTTGACCTTCTTAAGGTCAATTCAAAATGGCCGCTTAAATATACTAAAATAGGTCATTAAAACTATGATACAATATGATGCAATTAATTATTCTTGTCAAAATCAAATGATTATTCAATATGATCAGATTTTAATGAAATTGGCCACCAAATATAGCGATTATAAGCCTAATGGCTCAATTAACAGTATATACAGTACTGTTTTACTAGCACGTATAACGTATAAGACTAAGATTGAAAAAAATCACTTTTTATTTTTTGTTAACTTGACTTATATTGAACAATAAACTTAGTTTATAAATATTACCAAAGAATAAATATTTCGTAATAACAAATTAATATTTCGTAATAACAAATTAATATTTCGAAATAACAAATTAATATTTCGTAATAACGAATCAATTCCGGGAGAAAGTGTGGAAAATGTCACTTCATGTGTTCCGTAATTTTCAACATTTTTTGTAGCTATGATTTTTTTTAAGTTGTTCATTTTTTTCTCATATATTTTGCACTAATTATGGTATTTATGGTTTAAAATGAGTATTTAAAAATTATTTTGAAATGTTAAAAAGTGTCATTTCAATGCCATAAACACAACACAAACCGAGACAAAAAGTGTTTTAAAAATATACTACGCCCCCCACAAAAAAAACAAACAAACAAAAAACAACAGGTCTTAAAAAATGGCAACAGTAGGAATCCAACCATAGACCTCTCACACATCAGTCAATCACTTAACTGGCTGTGCTACTGCGGTAGTAACGATGACGTTTACAATTTTAGCAGGTATGACATTTACTAACATTAGTTTCATAGTTTTTTTATTTTATGCTTTTCAGTGGATTACTGATTTATTCGTGAAAATTATATTTGATAATTTCACAGTGAAATTATCAAAATATAATTTCACACTTTTCAATGACGAAACTACTTTCTTAAGATTTTCCCCATGTGGTACCTCAATTTTATTTTTGCTGACAATTCTGAAAATGTCAGGCTGTTTCGAGAGAAGCAAAGCTGAAATTGATAAATAACTGAAATGCCAAAAGTAATAAAAAGAAGAAAACTTACTTCTATTCATCTAAATTACCAATCAGGTAATATCGTCTCTTAATTTTTTTGTTTCATTTTTACAAACTGAAAAATACATTCCTTCCACATGCAAAACTGCTCTTGATGACATTTGGGCATATTTAAGTTTACCATCTTGTTTAAAAATAAGTGACTATTTAAAGTTAGAGTTAAAAACAACAACAACAATAACAACACCATATTTTCATGGAGTCATAAAATGTCTGAAAGCGGGAGATTGCTACGTGTGCTTGGTATACCATAGCAGCTCTCGAAAATTTTGGAATTCAGTCACGGTTTTGAGAAAATTCTACAAGAAGATTATCACATCATTTGATATACATTAGCATTCCGAGTACCCTCCAATAAATTTCCAGGATATCTTAAAGTAACAGCAAAGTTATCTTTAAAATATTATTTGTTATAAATCGAGTAATATTTTCTTTGACCATATATAATAGTCCCGTGGGTTGTCTACATAGTAGAGGTGTTAAAATATAATTGTAATACACCCTTTGTTAGCCATTGAAATAGTATTTTATGTATAAAGGATTTTCAAAAATGGTTATTATTCAGAGCGGGCGCTATGGTGCAGTGGTAACACTGTCTGCCTACAAATCAAGGGGTCGTGAGTTCGATCCCCCGCTACTCCACTGAACGAATAAATGACTGCAAGACTGACAAAACCAGGACATAGACACAGAATGACGGCAACGAGAGAAACAAGAGAAGACCTTAACGGAACAGGAAACAAGTACCGAAAATACAAGACCGAAGACGACGACCGATAACAGAAGGAAGAACAGAGACAAGGACCGCTAACAGAAGAAGAGAGACAGAGACCGATAACAGAAGACCTGACAACAAGCGAACATAGACGAGGATTGATAACAGAAGAACAGAGACAGGGACCGATTACAGAAGAACTGACAACAAGCGAACAGTTACGAGGACTGATGACAGAAGACCAGGGACAGGGATCGATAACAGAGACGGAAACCCGATTACAGAACAGGACAGGGACTGATAACAAAAACGAGGATTGATAACAAATCAATACAGACGAGAACTAACAACTGAGAACTGAGACTAGGACCGATTATGAAGAACGAAGATCACGACCAATAACAGAAGAACTGACAACAAGAGAACTGCGACGAGGACCGATAACAGAAGAACGCAAGTCACGACCAATAACAGAAGAACTGACAGCAGAGAAATGCGACGAGGACTAATAACAGAAGAACGAAAGTCACGACCAATAACAGAAAAACTGACAGCAGAGAAATGCGACAGAAGAATAAAAGTCACGACCAATAACAGAAGATCTGACAGCAGAGAAATGCGACGAGGACTAATAACAGAAGAACGAAGACGACGACCGATAACAGAAGAACTGACAACAAGAGAACTGCGACGAGGACTAATAACAGAAGAACGAAAGTCACGACCAATAACAGAAGAACTGACAGCAGAGAAATGCGACAGAAGAATGAAAGTCACGACCAATAACAGAAGATCTGACAGCAGAGAAATGCGACGAGGACTAATAACAGAAAAACGAAAGTCACGACCAATAACAGAAGATCTGACAATAAGAGAACTGCGACGAGAACCGATAACAGAAGAACGAAGACGACGACCGATCAGAAAAACGAACACCAAAACCCAAGAGTACTCAGAAAAAGGTGCCTTTAATAATGTGTATTTTGCATGCACACGTTTTAACCTCCTCATACATATTTACGCTGTGCAAAATAAGTAGGCATCTGAGTAGCCACTCTAATGCTTGCATAGAGTGCAAGATAAAATCTAGCAGATAGGGCAGGAAAGAGTGTAGTGTTCGCTGCGTAAACCCTAAATATGTTTAAATGCCTTAAAATTTTCAGTACTATCTTTAATATTACTTCTATATTACTATTATATTAGCCTATAGAAAATGTCTGCCATCTTGGATTTTTCGGCCATATTGGATTGTTTTTTTTTTAATTATGTTTTGGTGTTTAATTTGTTTTTACCTAAACATACTTTGTGACAAATTTCAGACTTTTCCTTTCCTTAAAAATTTATTTGATATATCATCCATTTATGATAAAGAAATTTGGCGGCCATTTTAGTGGTCATTTTAAATGGCCATTTCAATGGTCAAGATCAAGTTTTTCAATTAGGTATCCACCTTTATCGGATTAAGCATACCTTAAATAGGTAAAATACACCAAGATACCACTTGTACTACAAAATGCCTCTAGCATCTTATAGAGAGCCAAATTCCAAAATCAGTCCTGTCTAAATGAACAATTTCAAATATTAGTATAGAAATTAAAAAATTTAACTGCTTAAAGGCACATTATGTCTCAGAAATCCATATATTTAATAAAAAAATCTTTAGAAATGTTAGACATGTCTTTAATTATGTTCTTATAAAGGATCAAGAGTATGTTAGATGTTTAATAACTGAAGAAAGTAATGCTAAATGTGCAGGAATATGTCGTAAGGTAGCAAAATGAAAATCGATAAGTATTTTGACTTCCTTACAAAATACTTTAATTTTAACAATTGCCAACAGCACAAAAGAAGCAAAAGGTAGTTCATCTATATGGCAAATGATTTGTTTTGGAAACTGTAACAAGATACCTAAAAGATAAAAAAAATAAAAATGATTGTGTTTTTGAGGCATAATAGGCCTTTAAAAAACAATGAACGTTTTCTAATTCTATTCTGACAGTACCATTTTGAAATTAAACTGCCTTAAATGACAATGGACTGATTCACAGTCAAAGTAGTGTCTGGTTTTTAAACACTAATAATTGACGAAGTTCAAACACCAACAACTGTTTTCACTACGTTAGAAACACGTTTTAGATCACAGTTCCCTTCTTCCACTATAAACCAATGTTTCCACGACACTGCCCGTCGTATCCTCTTTGCAAATCCTGTAAGAAATGTCCATAATTATTATAAATAAAATCAATAATGTTCATATATATGCGTTTCATAGAAAGACCTATTCATTGAAAATTGAAAACTATTTAGTGTTAGTCCTGTATTAAAACATCATTTATTTAAATTCGTTTGTTAAGAAAGTTTATAGCTTTTTTGAGGAATCACTCTCGAGTTCCAGGTTCTAACTAGAGCTGATCTCATATCTGAAAACATCGTCGTGACTTAAGCGGTCTAGAAACCACAATCATTAAAGAGACAAGAACCTTATCCACTAAGCTACTTAATATTCATATTCATATTCGTTCTCACTTATTTACGTTCTTTATTAAAAAAATGTTTTATTTATCATTATATTTGTTATCACAAAGTCGTTTAGTAATATAGCTATTTATACTTTATTACATTTGTTTATAGTAACCTTGTAAATTTGTGTTCGAGCATTCAGTGTTTCGAATAAATATGAATAAAAAAACAACAAAAAAACAAAGACCCAAATCTTAGAGCGACCGATAATTAAAGCCCCAAAGTTCAGCGTCATACTTAAAATTGGTATATGCCAAGGTAATGCTCTATGCCCTTGTTTATTCAACATATTCTTACTAGGAAAACACAAAGCAAGATCAAATGATAAAATCTATTACTTACCCATCAAGTTATTGTTTCTAATGACAATTGGGCGGGTCTTCTGTCTCTCCTCGCTCGGGAGCTCGTACCACATCCCCTCAACGTAAGATTCTCCTGGTAGCTCATTTAATGTCACATTGCCAAACCTTAGATACAAAAAATAACTTTTATTTATTTATTTATGTTTTTATATATTACAACACAACTCATAAATATCTGGAAAAAAGTGATCCCTACAACAAAATTACATGGAAATTGCAGACTCTGCATGTTTGATTGAGTATGTTCATGAAGTATAATGAAAAAAGCAACATCCTTCACATCCTCTTCTACCGGCTCGAGCGGTACTCAATTCTCAACACTTAAAAGTGCTGAACTCTAAACTGCTTAAGATTTATATGTTTGTACCTTAACATTACTACCATGTACACATATGATGCAATAATTAATGTTGTTTCTTTACCTATTTCAATGTCCATTGTCTGAATTACAAAACATATTAAATTGTCATTCTTCGTCGGAAAAAAAATCAATTGTAGTAGTAATTGAAAATAGTAAATTTTGATAGATAGGACAAAGCGATATCGTTGTCAAGAAATGTCGAATTTTCGGGAGAAAGATCGACGCTACACATTTTATTAAAGACCTTTGATGGAGCATCTGCTTTCATTTGACAGTAAAATGCTTTATATTCACGGCTGCATCAAATTCACAAAACATTCTAATCATGCTCATAATGATAACAACAACAACAACAGTTACAACAACTGTTAAAGATTTATGAAGCGTTATAAATTCGTTGTAAAGACCTTAAGCATAAAAAACCTTTCATTTCTGGGCAACATTGTCAAAATTATCATTGATACTCAATAATGATAACGTTAACAACTGTAAAAGACTCATGAAGCGTTTTAAATTCGTTTTACAAGACCTCAAGCATAAAAACCGTTTATTTGTGGGCAACATTGTCTGTCAAAACTATAATTGCAACTAAATAATGGTAACGTAAGCAACGAAGAACAATCACATTTTCGATGAGAAATAGTAAAACCTTTGCAGAGCAACAGACTCTGGCTGGCTTTGAGATGGTTCTCTAGAGAAGTTCAATATATATATTGTGAAATACTAGTAGAGAAAAACCGAATCCCTAAAGATCGCCCAAACCGACAAAATTGTAAACGTTGCAGGCTCGGTTTGATTGAGCCTGCTCATGGACGGTACTAAAAAGTGGTAGTTACCGTCCACGCCCCTTAACACCGGCTTAAGCATAATTCAACATTTTAACTTGAAAATGGTGTGATTTTTGAATCCAGAATTATCAGTAGATGTTTTCATAAAAAGAGTGGTTGCTATTACAGGATGCCGCTTTGCAATGGTTACAATTTATTTTCAATATTAAAGTATGTTACACGTATACGAAGATAAACGAATCAATTGTGGGTGGTATATGTGAAAATACTGTTAAGATATTGTGAAAAAAATGTGGCAATATTATGAAAATGTCATACCTTTGTTTAGTCATCATTTTAAGTAACTTATCATACTGGCTTTCAATTCCCAACTCTGGCTTGTTTTCAAACTGTTTAACTTTCAAGTATAAAGATCCCCAGAAATGTTTATTCTTTTGCGTGGCGAACAATACAATAAAACCCGTATTAGTCTGGAAAGTGGACGCCATGTTGACCATCATGTCTTTATCACCCGCTTTGAAACCTGGCACCGGGTTGGAGAACCAAACAGACTCCACGTCGAGAAGGAGAACGTTAACTCCGGCGTTAAGAAGAACATAAATAATTTGCAACTTTTTTATGGTAAGTGGAAGTCCTCGCAAGTTTGCCTCGGGCGTGTCAGGTTCTAGTGGATAAAGCGTAACTCTCGGCCATTTCTTGGACAGAAATTCCTTCGACTCACTGCCGTAAGTAACAATAATCAAAGAAGAATGAATATCCATGACCTGGGTGTTACACAACCAATTGTTTGCAAACACAGCATTATCTTCATGCACGAAAGCAAGTAAAAGGATTTTCGGGTCTGGTGCAGAGCTGAGAACATCTTTTGCAAGAGTCACGATTCCTTTGAAAGTGTCTTTACTACTTTGCAGATCTGCATCCGCTTCAATGGCTTTCTTGTATTCTGCGATCTCGTTAACAATCTGTACATCTTTATTTGCATTTACAGAAAGTTTGACTGGAGCTGGCACATTCACAGGTTTAATTTCATTTTGCTTCTTCGGTTCTATTTTAGTCTCCTTTTCCACAGATTGTATGTTCTGAACCGGAGGTTTTGGTTTGTCTTGCTTGTCACCGGCTATTGCTTGATTATTCTGTGTATTATCTGCGTTAACCTTTGCTACATTTTGCACGTCTTTTTCAGCTTTCTTCTCCTCTTGCTGAACATTGTTGGCAGCATTATTTTCTTGTGCTTTTCTAATATTTTCATTGTACTGCTGTTGAATTTTCTGAAGAGTGTTTTCAGGCGCGTCCAGATCTTTCCCTCCTGTTATCTCTTTAGGTTTTTCATTCTCCTTGGTGTCTTGTTTAGTATTCTCTTTGATCTCCATCTGTACGCTCCTCTTCTTCATTTCCTCCTCCTCATCTTCAGGTGTGGCATTCCTAGTAAGAAGTACGAGTGAAACTATAAATAGTGCCAGAACTGCTGGTGGTATTTTGTTGAATATTCTGAAACGCATTTTGCCTATTTTTTTCCCTTTGTGTGATTTATTATTTCCTTATTTCCTTGCTAACGTTGTGCAGTGTTTTATTAAATCTTTAAGAGAATATTAACTTCTCTTTCCTGTAGAATATTAACTTATTTGAATCAATGATAATTCTTAAAGTGTCTGATCAAACAAATCATCGCATATGTTACCAAACGGCTGAACAAAAGAAAATTGATTTAAGGTTTTAAATTTTTCTTTTTTCTCTCTCTTTCTCTCTTTGAAGTGTAATCACATAGAGGTGAAGATATCATTTTATTTAACCGATTGATTTAAACATACGGTGTCCATATCTTTATTTTTGAATACATGTAGTAAATGCAATGAAAATTACAAAACTACATAAGTGTAACAAGTTGCTGCACATTAAGAAATCAGACTTTCTCTAGAGATCGTAGTAAACGTGTTAAAATTAATATCAAGCAGAAAAAATTAGGATTCACTCATTCGGGTTGTCTGCTTAAAGGAGCTCCACTGAGGCCAAAAAGTCTAAAAAAATAAAAATTTGAAATTCTTGCATAAATCGAGTGATGCACTTAAAAGGGAAAAATCTGCAAAAGATAATAATAGAAATAACCTGAAAGTAAACTTCAAAATCGATATTTTCACTATATGTAGTCAGTTTTGATTGAAATGCGTTGCAACGCTTTTCATTTTATGGTCATTTTGCACAATAAAAATAATTATTTTGGTCAAACGGAGTGAAAGAAATGATATGAAATTTTGCGTACACGTTATTAGTCGAGACCTACATCAAATGGTGCACAAATTTTGAAAGAAAATATGTCCAGTCTTTTCATGTCCAAACCTCTCGGTGGAGTCCCTTTAATATGGAAGACAGTGCTTATTCACCAAGGCTAAGACAAATAACCGTCCCACGATCACCTCACAAAGACAATCGACCCATCGGATAGGAATCCGAGACGGAAATGAAAACTGATTAATGTATAAATACTGCAAATACGGGCCGGTTAGCTTTAAACATTGTTGTTGATCTAGTGGTGCTGCTTACTTTTTCAAAAGAATATGAACTTAGTGGGGCACATTGCTATCACTCAAGGCGTCATCGCAGTGTGCTAATGATTGTTTTCATACTTTGGCTTTTCGCATTAAAAACATTATTCTTGACCACTTTCTTAGGTAGCCTTTAAGTATCAAACATGTTCCACTGAGATATGTTCGGATATATAATTATATCAACCAGGGCTAATTAAGCAAGTGTATTTTCTATTGTAAAACTTATAGTAGTTTAAAAAATGATACAAGTTGTAATTTTAATTCACTTAATTTCGTAGAATTTTTGTCACACATGACCTTTTCTGGGTCCTTTAATTTGTGGATTTACCATTTTTTGTAAGGAAGTAAAATTCAAATAATGTATTGAAAAATAATCTTGCAGCAGACAAAACGAAATTCCGTTTGATTTCAAATTCGTGGGTTGTCCTATTCGTGAAAACCATGAAAATTAGGGCCCCGCGAATAATTTAATGGTTTTGCAGTAGCTTATGAAAATGGTAAATTATGCACGGTACAATTGATTTGTTGTAATCTACTTGAAAAGGAAAGTATTGAAATCTAATATTTTTATTATAGTTCTTTGACGATTTATAATTTCTTAAACTATAACTAAGATCTACACATACACAGAATTGAAACATAAACTCGATTCACATTCCTCCCCTTACAGCCGAACGCAAACTCCTTTCCGGACGAACACAGATAGCAATCGGAACATCTCGGCTTTATCAATAATAACTCCGAAGTTTGACGGAAAGGTCCGAGAAGATGCGATTGAGATGATAGCTCCACTCTTCGACCATTTAGCTTGCATTAATGTAAGTGTACGCAAAATGTGAAATAGTATCTTTAATATATAGTAATGTACAATGTCATTATATGAAAATCCTTTAGCGAGCTCTGAGGTCCTAACCTCTCCCAATATATCCTTTCATCAAGAAAACGCATAAAATAACAATTATAATTAATTGCAAGAACGATAGACGAAATTTTGAGCAACATTATTGTGTAGAAAAAAATTATCATAGCATTCCTGGAACTAAAGTATAAATGCAAGGGCCTGTTGCAGGAATAAGCAACCCATTAACTGATGAAAATAATGGTATTCAAATTTCTTTATAAGCCTGATACAAAACGAAAACCAATAACTATAGCATTTACATAGATCTAGATCATAAAATCATAAATTCAAAAAATCTTTATACTTGAACTTACGAAATTATTTTAAATAAGACATCTTTCATCATAAATCACTTGATAATACTTAAAATATCAGTTATCTATATTTTTTGTTTATTACATGTATGTCACCAATTTTCTCTATTATCTATTTATGCTTATATATGTATGTCACAATTTCCTAGTATATGTATCATTTATGTTTATACATGGATATCACAGTTTCTTCAAAGTTTCCGGTATTGCACGTGCTTGCTCTAAGGATCCAATTCCCCATGCTTAGCTCTGAATCATTCGCCTCGTTTCCTTTTAAAGAACGATTGATTTTATACATTATATAATTTACAAATGTAAGATGTTTTAAATAAATTCAGTGTAATCAGAACGCCGATTCCATTAATTAATTATGCAGTCACAGCTAGTCTTTTAGATTTTGAACTTTTTCATTCTGTTTAACTTAAACGACTTTTAGGTCCGACCTCCTGAATTCTTATATATGATATCTGTGCAGCGTCTGTTTGAAATATGCAAAAACTTTAATAGATACTAACAAGTTTTGAGGCAATGCCTGCAATTCATTTTCTCTAATACTCCCGAAAGCCTGTTTTTCTACTGTCTGAAGTACGCGGGCTAACGCTAAGCAGTCCTCTAGCGGGCAACAGTATGAACTGAGCGGTGCTAGCATCTACGATGCTAACATTGACTGGAGGGCTAGCAGCCTAGCGGGCAACAGTGTCGAACTGGCGAGGTAGCGTCTAGCAGGCTACGCAGTGTGAACTGCGGGCTTGGCGGTGCAGCGGGCTAAAACTCTAAACTTTATTATATGACATAAAAAATGTATATAACATTACCTGCAGTGTGAAGGGGCTGGCAGCAGTCTGTCGTGCTAGCAGTGACTGGGGGGCTGGCGCGCAGAGGCTAAAATCTAAAAACTTATGATAGAACATAAAAAAACTTTATGATCACACATTACCTGCCAGTGTAAGGGCGAGCTATGCGAGTTTGTAGCCGGTCAGCAGTGTGAACTGGGCGGCTGTCGGCCAGCGCTAACATTAAACTTTATTATTGAACAAAAAACGTATGATAATTACCTGCAGTGAAGTTGGCGGGCTAGCAGATATGTAGCGGCTAGCAGTTGTGAACTGCGGTAGTTGCGGCCAGCGCTCAAAAATCTAAAACATTATTGATGACATTAAATGCAATCATGATAACATTCACCTAGCATTGTGAAGTGCGGAGCTAACAGTGTAGCGGCTAAGCAGTGTGAACGCGGTGGCCGGGCCAGCGGCTAATAATCTAAAACTTTATTGATTCAACATTAAAACCTTGGATACATTTACCTATAGCAGACTGGATTGACGGAGCTACAGTGCTAGCGGATGCTTAGCAGTGTAGACTGGCGGGCTGGCGCCACGGCTAAATCCTAACTTTTATTACTCTTACATAAAAGTATGATACAATTTACCTGGCAGGTGAAGTGGCGGGCTATCAGTTAGGGGCTAGCACTGTGTAACTGGGCGGCTGTGGCACGGTAGCTAAAATCTAAAATTTATTAGATTCAACATAAAACTTATTGTAACATTCTATCAGTGTTGAAATTGGACGGCTACAGTGTTACGTCATACAGTGTGAACTGGGCGCGCGGCGTGCCAAGCGGGCCAGCCGTGCTAAATCTAAAAACTTTATTGATTGAAATAAAAATGTATATGAACATTACCTGGCTTGTATGGTCGATGTAGCAGTGAGGGCTAGCAGTGTGACGGGCGGCGCTGAGCGGCAGCGGGCCTAAATCTTAAAATTTATTAATAACATAATAAAATGTATATGATACCATTACCTATGCAGTTGTGATGGGGGCCTATCAGCTGATAGCGGCTAGCAGTGTGATACTGGGGGCTTGCGGCCAAGCGGAGCTTAAATCTAAAACTTAAATGAACATAATTAAATGTTATGATACTACCTGCCAGTGTAGAGTGCGGCTACACAGATGTAGCGGAGCTAGCACTCTTGTGAACTTTGCGCTTGGCGCCAGCGGGCATTAAAATCTAACTTTTGATTGATTTTGTAAATAAAATGTTATGATACATAACCTGGCAGTCTGAAAGTGGGCGGCTAGCAGTGTGCGGGCTAGCAGTGTCTGGCGGCTGGGGTGGCGGGGGCCAAGCGGTAAAATCTAAAACTTTATTGATTTGAACATTTTAAAAACTTATATTAATTATCCTGGCAGTGTTTTAACTTGCGCTAGCAGTTGTTGTAAGCGGTGCTAGCAGTGTGAAACTGTGCCTGGCGCGCCAGCGGGCAAATCTAAACTTTATTGACTGAATCAATAAAAATGCTTATTATTACATTATCGCAGTGTGAAGTTGCGGGCTAACGTGTAGCGGTTCGCTAGCAGGTGAACTGGGCGGGCTGCGGCAGCGCTAAAAACTAAACTTTATTGATTTCAACCATATAAACCTGTATGATACATTTCCTTAGCATTGAATTGACGGTCTGACAGAGCGGCAGCAGTTTGAACTGCGGCTTGCGGCCACGGCGCCTAATCTAAAACTTTAATCGATTGACATAAAAATGTTGATGGATACATTACCTGGCAGTCGAGGGAGCTAGCAGCTTGTACGTGTACAGTGTGAATGGCGGCTGGCGCCAGCGGCTAAATCTAAAATTTATACTTTGAACATAAAACTTATGATACTATTACACTGGCGTGTAAGCTGGCGGCTAGCAGCTTGTAGCGGCACAGTGTGATACTTGGGCGGGCTAGGGCCAGCGGATAAAATCTAAAACTTTATGATTGAACAAAAAATTTATATACATACTGCGAGTGTGAATTGGGGCTAGCATGTATAGCGGCGCTAGCATCGAACTGGTCGGATGCTGGCGGGCCACGAGCAAATTTTCTAACACTTTATGATTCAACATTAAAACCTTAGATACATTTCTAGCATGTAATTGGACGGACGCTTGACAGCATGTAGCGGGCTAGCATGTGAACTGGCGAGCTGGCGGCCAGCAGACAGCGGCTAAATCTAAAACTTTATATTGAACATAAATGCTATGATACATTTACTGCAGTGTTAAGTTGGCGGCTAGCAGTGTAGCGGCTAGCAGTTGTGAACGGCGTGCTCGCCAGCGAGACTAAATTCTAAACTTTTATTGAATAACTAAAAATGTTATGATCATTACTGCGTTGTGAAGGGGCGGCCAAGCAGTCCTTGTTGCGGGCACAGGGAACTGCGGCTGCGCTGATGGGGACAGCGTGCTAAAATCTTAAACTTTTTATAATAACATATAAATGTTATGTACATCACCCTGGCAGTTTAAAGTGGGGCTTAACATTTGTAGCGGCTACAGTATGTTGACACTGGGCGGCTGCGGCCAGCGGGCTAAAGTTTAAAACTTTATTGAATTGAAACCTAAAATATGTTCATAAACATTACCTGGCGTGTGATAGTTGGCGGCTAGCAGTGTAGCGGCTAGCAGCTGTGAACTGGCCAGGCTGCCGTGCAAGCGGGCTAAAATCTAAAAACCTATTGTTGATTACTAAATAAATGTTATATACAAACTGGCGTGTGAAGTGCGGGCTAACGTCTGTAGCGGGCCTAGCATGTAACTGGGCGCGCGCGGCCAGCGGTGCTAAAATCTAAACTTTATATGATTCAAACATTTAAACCTGATGATACAATTTCTAGGCTTTTAAATGAGACGGACGCTGACAGCTTTAGCGCTACGTTGTAAACACTGGCGGCGGGCTGCGGGCCATCGGATTTGATAATATCTAAAACTTTATTGATTGAACATAAAAAGTTATATACGATTACCTGCAGTGCTGAAGTGGCGCGGCTATCAGGTAGCGGGCTAAGCAGTATGTAATACTGGGCGGGCTGCGGGCACAGCGCGATAAAATCTTAAAACTTTATTGAGTTGAAACATAAAAATTTATGATACATTACACTGCTAAGTGTAAGAGGGTAACTCCAAGATCACTTTACGGTCTAAACTTGGTCACGCTTCCTTAAAATCCTAGGTTACTATGTAGAAATGTTCATTTCCGCCATAACATCCAGTTTTGCACAAAGGGATAGAAATCAGTGATATAATACTGTGCAATTACATATGAATGATTTTTGGGGCTTCGGTACAGTAGGGGGTTTCCTTCAGAAAGATAAATCAAATAACACTTTACAATTCGCTCCTACATAAACTGAGTTATTGTATGGAAATGACTTTTCAAGGTTTGACTTGTGATCTTTGATTTTAACCAACCTCGTGAACAGCTGTTCATTTGTAGTTAATTCTTTTTTGCTAATTGTATGCAATATTACAAAAATAAAGCAGATAAATTTATCGTACCAAAAAATGTTCTCTTTAATAAATATCTCATAATTTGAAACTTTAGAGACAGTATTTTTTATTGTTGAAATGTTTATCTTCAGACATATTGCAATACTCGAAAGAAGTGGCCTCGATTAATGGTGAGAAAACCTTTTTAATGGAAACGTAACAACAATATTATGAAAAGAGATTACGAACGCGATACAATATTTGAAATATAGCTCTGTTAATGACTGCTTCATTGCAGAAATGAATGCATCATTTACTGCCACGCCGTTTAGCGCGTCGGTAGCGCAACTCAAGTATTTACCAATTATGTTACTACTTGTGCAGAAAGACACCATCAACATTATTTTTAATTTAGATTAAGTTACATAAGCTGACTCACGATAAAAACATATAACATTACTGAAAACTTTGAAAATCTAATCTGTAGTAGTTCGATTTGAAGTTGTATATTGTTTCAAGAGCATGCATATTATGTCGTCTAAATCTTTGTTGATTATGGGGCCAATTTTAAGAGAAATATTACTAATGATTTTATACCTTATTTACATTGATTTTTGTAAGTCTTAGTTTTGTATATTGATTTTTTATGACTCAACGAAGTAGGAAGGCATTATTAGAGTTTGCACGCGTCTATAGAAGTACGTCCGTCCTTCCGCTCCGCTCATTTTTGTCCGGAGCAATATCTCAAAAAGTATTAATGGTATCAAACTTCAAACTTCATAGGATGGGATAGATCATTAATGAGGAGGAGTGCAGTGCACAGAATGAATAACTCCACCCTGCATATTTTTTGAGTTATTTGCCCTTTTTTCTGCTTCATATAGTGGATATTATCAACTGAAACTTCATAGGTGGTATAGATCTCATAGACGAGAGTGCCAGCACACAAAGAATTTATAAACTGTACCGCATAATTTTTTGAGTTAATTGCCTTTTGTTATTTCAGCCATCAGTATTCCATA